CGCGGAGCCCATGATCAGAAGAGACGGACCCAGTGAGTCGCTGAAACAGCAGATAGATAAAGTCAGAGATCGAGCAGAGACCACAATGAATAGGACAGATCAAACGAGGATGAAGTAGAAAATGGTTGATGGCTTTCGCTTACCCAGACCGCTTGCGATACGAGTTCGGATCGGCGAATCTACGATCATGGGGATTCATCGTGAGATTTGGCTGCTTAGGGTTTCTTCCGCACGAAACCTACTGCGACAGCTTCGATCGAAGTGAAACGTGTACTTCTCGCAAAGGAGGATGCCAAGGAAAACATCAGGTGGGAGCGCGACTACTTGAAACGCGCGTCCCGATAACAACTGCGTTTGCTTTTCATAGTGACAAAACGCAGCGTAACCAACGTTTGCTCTGAAGTTTCATTCCATTAGTAATAGATTCTTCCAAATGTCTTTTGAATTTTATATTTGCTCATTTATTGTTCCTTTGCTTGTGGAATGTAAATGACATTCACGAAAGATTCATCCTAATGTTTTTAGATTTTTATAGTTAATTGAGCATTTATAAGTTTTTGCTTGTGGAATGTAAATGACATTCAATAAAATTAAAATAAAACTAATTAAATTAATAATAACTTAAGTATCTTGATACATTCACATGGAAGATATGTTTTGGATGTTTTAACAAAAAAAAAAAGATATGTTTTGGGTGGTAAGAATCTAAATTTATTAATTACCGGGACGCTTTTAATTTACTTGAAAAAGTACCAACCGAACGCGTTTTCTTTTGCCTAATGCAATGAAATTCGAATATTCGGGGCTTAAAATTCGAATTGACAAAAATATCCCCGATTTATTTCGTTTCCCTATACGCATGGGGCCCGCGATGACGTCACTTACGGCTTATAAAAGCATGCGCTACCGCTCCCTCAATACTTGGTTTAGGACACCAAAACCAGAAATACGATCCCACCATCTTCTCCTCCCCCCTCTAATAGGTAAAAAGCCTAAACCAGAAGCTTCGGAAACCCTAAAAATGGTGGCCGGCACTACGAAGAATTCCAGCGGCAGTCTCAAGTTTCTCTGCAGTTATGGCGGAAAAATACTCCCCCGTTCTCCCGATGGCAAGCTTCGCTACGCCGGCGGTCTCACCAGAGTCCTCTCCGTCGACCGATCCATCTCCTTCGCAGGTTCGTTTTTTCCTCTTGCCAAAATTTGTTCCCATTTTCGTCCGATTTCTTTCCTATCCCCCGTGTTTCCCTTATTGGAACTCTCCGAGTTGAGCTCTTGATTTCAGATTCTCGTTATTCCTTACGATTTTCCTGTTGATTTTGGTCAATAGAGCGAGATTCATTTTTTTTGTTCCTTGTCTAGCAGAGCTGATGGTGAAATTGGGGGAATTCTGCGGATACTCCGTTGACCTGAAGTGTCAATTACCAAACGGGGATCTAGAGACTCTGATCTCCGTCAAATCCGACGAGGATCTATCCAACATAATCGAGGAGTACGATCGCGTCTCCGGCCGCAAAATCCGAGCGGTTTTGTCCCTTCCGAGATCACATAAGCATGTATCTCCGCCGCCGAGCGGCAACCAGTCTCCGAAATCGCCGTTCTCCGCCGTGGCCTCGCCGCCGACCTCTCCGGCGCACGGGATGTTTCTAAATCCTCGTGTTTGCTTGCCTCCAGCGGATATTCCGAGCAGATTCCGGAGAATATCTTCGGAAACTCACTGTTGCAGCTGCCAGCTGCAGAGAAATGCTAGACGGATCTGGTATTGACGGAGAGAGAATTTCCAAAGCCGCCATAGACGATGACGATCAAGAAGAAGAATTATAAGAAAATTTAAGAATCGGGTTTAATTTCTGGTCTTGCGAATTTCATGGTGTGCGGTTGTAAAAATCTGAAGAAAAAAAATTAAGAAAAAGTAATCAAATTATGGACATCGGAGGCGATGGTCAACGGAGAAGACGAACTTTTTGAACGTCCGTTAACCGCCGTTAGAGTGCCGTTAAGGCAGGTGGGCACGAACAACGCTACTTTTTGTAATACGTGGATACGTGGCCACTGTTCGTGAGGCCAAAAGACGCCGAGTCAGAGACGTAACACGTGTGTGGTTCCGTGGCGGGTTTTCGTCACACGTGTCTCGCTCTCCAGATTCCGAGGTTTTCGTTTCCATTCGTATTTCTCATATTTGATTTCTTTTTTTCTTTCTAAATCCATTTATTTTTTTAATTCGTTTATGTTTATTTTATTTTTACCCCATAACTAATTTCTGTTCTGTTCCTTCCTTTCTCTTTGTCTGTTCAGGTTTAGGAAAAGGCCACGAGGTTTGGAATACGTCTCTCGCATGAGAAGTTGGTTCTTCTTTTGGAATTAAATTTTTTTTTAAAAAAAATCTCCAATTCAAGAGAAAAAATAATTAAATTTTTATAATGATTATTATTATTTAGCACATGGAAGGAAGGGGTCATACATGGACCTGAGAAAACGGGGAATTAGCATAATAATTAAAAAAAGAATATTCCATGAGTTGGTCCGCCATACATAATTAAATCTAATGGCATAAATAAACAGATGAGCCTTTCTTAAACGACCCTCATAATTTTCGGGAGAGACCATTGACATACTCTAATGGGGACGCCGACCTTAGACCATCTAAAGAAGTGAAAGCTGTCCGAGCAACTAACTTGTCTGTTTTCACACTACATTACAATTTGGCATCATTTTATATAAATTAATTTAGAAGATGTTTTCATGGTAAAATTTAAAAATATCAGACCGACCAACCGGAGATTTGCATTTTAGCTACGAAAGTGAATAGGAATAATCTTTTTTTTTTTTTTTGTTTGTGTTTGGGTTTGTGCGAATAAAAACAAAAGTTAAAGCCAACATCATGGACGCGTTCTTTATACCAAGAATTGATCCGTGGAGAATACTCAACGTCGGGAATATTCCACGTTCTCCCCAAATGTGCCACCATCTGACTTTTTCTTTGCCTTCACACCATGTTTTCATGCTCGAAATCTTCAGCGTCCTGACTCAGACAACATTCACTGTCTGAGACAGATGTCTTCTTCTGGTTCTGGAGGTAGGTGGGTCCTTTCTGGTTATAGACAGTTGAGGAACAAATTACATACGATGAGGACCCAGAAAGCTTTACTGGACCAGGAGCCTCACAGGATTAGGGAGGTTGATCGAAAGGTTAGTATCATGATGGGTAATGAAGGGGACAAAGTAGATAAGAAGAAGCGTTGTAGCCTCTCGTCTTCCCCCATGTCTCTTAAAGGGTTACCTCTCACATGTGAAGAAATGCAGAATCCATGGCTGCTTCTACTTCCCTAATTGAAAGACCATCATCAAACCTCTCTTCTCCTCTTGTTCCCCAACATAGACAACATTCTGGGTGTCTGAAGAGCAGAGAACCTAATTGAATATGCCATCATATGTTGATGTTGTTCAACGCTAACAGCAAATCCAGAAACAAGATTCCAAATACAATATCAAGAGTGCCCTGAGATCTTTTCCTCCTTGTTTCACAATTTTAATGTTCCATTGCTTCAATCGGAACTACTGGACTGGACCCAGTTGCGCCATTGCATCATCTCCTTCACACTATTTACTAGAGACACCTCGATTCATAAATAAAAATTGAAACTTTGCTTTCTTTATGGTTCTGACAGACAAAAAAAAACGGACAGAATTGAAAAAAAAGTTGCTACCTTTTCTTCACATCCAGCTTCTTCCATGGCGATAATGATCCCCTCCATTCCGCGACTGTGGCCACTGTATTGACAGGGGGGAAAACGTCGGCATTGTCTCTTCATGTCCGAAACTGTAACATTCTCTCTCCCTCTATCTCTCCATCTTTCTCACATTCTGCGTGGTGTGATTTTCATCACATCATCTTTCACTCTTTTTTGGGTTATTGTTGCAGCTAAATGAGATAGTATGAATACCTTCAAGAAAAAGCATAGTTTACATACCAATCTTTACCAAAGCCATGACCTTTGCATGGATAAAGTGGAAAAGATATTCTTTTCATGCTCCAGAACAATCCAACAACAACATCACCAAGCCTAGAAACAAGATCTACCTGCTCCAATCCACCAATGCAATACACCATTATCAGATTTCCAAGAAACAGGTGAACAAAACTACATCTGATGCCTACGACATCACCTCCTAGGGCTGACAAGTGTTTCCACCCTTATGCGGTGTGGATGCCAGGATTGGAGAACAGAGCATGGATGTGGATGCCAGGGAGTTCACCCCACAGACGCAGAGGAAGATGTTGAGATTTTCGGCAGGGAGACTTTCAGAAAACGTTAAGCCCGGGAAGGATGAACTTTTGAATGATGGAGAACACCAAGAAAAGAGTATGCAATAAAGATGGAGATGTGACAGTTGCAGTCAAGAGTGGTGTATGTATCTTGCAAATGAATAAAAAAAACTGTGCAAAACGAAGGTTAGTACATCATGCAGGCCCGAAGAGCTCGGAGATTTTAGGATGCGTTCTGATATGATGGGGGCATGTGTATAGAAGATCTTTTGCTTCGGAGTGTCTTCCCTGTAGGAAGAAAGCTTCAAAAATGTTAAGGTATGCAATAAAAGACGGGTAATCCTTCGAGCTTAGTGCTTTCAGGAACTCCTTAGCGTCCTCCACAGTCCCGAATTCCGCAAGGTATCGATCAAAGGGATTGGCATAAGCAGGGTAATTTTGCTTCTTCATCATCCGAAGAAGATCCAATGCTTCTTCATATTTCCTGATTGCTAGCAGATTCTCTATAAGATTCCTGTATGTGGCCTGCCACGGCTTTACATTGCCCGTCTTCACGGTCTCTACAAAGAACTTGTATGCATTCTCAATCATATTTTGGCAAAGAAAACCGTTTACCAGGACATCTAACAGATCCGAATCGATGTCAAAACCCTTCTCTCGCATCTTTTCAAAACAGATCAAGGCCTTATCCACTTCGTTGGCCGTGCAATGGCCTTGGATAAGAATTGTCCAGGTTTTTATGTCAGGAACACATCCTTGTGCTTCCATATGATCGAGCACTTTGCAGGCTTCTGAAAATCTTTTCGCTTTACACAGTCCGAAAACAAGTTGGCTGTATGTGATGTTATCGGGCTCGTATCCTGCATTTTTCATAGCATTCACCATCTCCTCAGCTTCTGCAAACATCCCTACGCTTGTTAACGACCTGTGTATTCCATCGTAAAAAGCCTTTGAAAGAGAATAACCTGTTGATTCATACTTTCTTGCTACTCGAAATACCAAATCCAAATCTGGATCAGGACCGACTGATAATGCCCTCAGTAGAAGAATGCAATCCTGTGTAGATGGTTTGAACGGGCCATCCATCATAAAATCGTAAAGCCTGACTGCATCGGCCATCATCCTAGATTTCTGCAACTGCCTTGAAATTTTTTTGTAAGTGTCCAAATCCATCTCATGCCCTGCATTCTTCATTTCATCAACAAAACTCCAAAATTCTCCAACCGAATTAGGCCTTGCCAAGACCCTCAAGATTGCGTTGTAAGTAATGGTATTGTGGCTATAACTAGAAAACCGGCCAACATAATGGAAAAAGTCCAAAGCCTTCAAGGGATGATCCCTAAGTTCCTTCAACGCCCTTATCACGAAATTATCCGACAACACGAGTTTCATATCCTGCAATTCTCTCTCAACCTCACTACCCCATTTAGCCCTCGAAACAACATCAGACACCCTTTTCACGACAGCATCCATTGCATTCTCCTTAAGCATTCTATCAAAGAAATGAGTCAAAGCCACAGAATCGCTGGTCAATTTCTCCTTCCTAAGAAAAGATTGAATGGTGGAATACGTCTCCTCATCCAAATAAAACCCTCCTTCTTTCATCTCTCTGAGAGTAACCCAGAACAGCTTCATGGACCGATGCTGCACCAAAATCCTCAACATCAAGCTATATAGCGAAGAACTCGGACGAAGCCCTGTTTTCCGGATAACCCATTTGAAAAAGCAAAAACTTTTTTCTGGGTCCTTGCCCAAATTCCTCAGAACGTAGATTGCAGTCTCGTGACTCAGGGACACGCCCGATTTCCCCAACTCGCCCTCTAATGCATTGGACCAATCGTTTTCGAGTACCAACTGAGCAATCGAGTTTTGTTCCGAAGAAAAGAAGCGGTACTGATACAGAAATCGATTAGGGTATGCAAAAGCATCAAACCGCGAGAAGGAGGGAGAGAAACAAGGAACCTGATTCCGGATTGAAAATGACCGAGTCGAGATGAACGAGTAGACATGTCGGAGAGATGCAAGCAGTGCCTTTGATCTGTTCATGGCCGCTGCGACTGTGTTCTCTGCGTTGGAGGAGGAAGAAGAACACGGGATGGGGTTTGGGGTTTAAGCAGATCTTGGAACGGTGCGTATTGGTGACAGATGTCGTTTTCGTGTGTGTGTGTATATGTGTGTGTTTGCGCATATATCCATGTATTAATATATAAATGTTATGAAAAATGGAACTTTGAACAGTGTTTGGATTTACTTCTTTTTCCTTATTAATATGTCAGACAATATTGTTGCATTATCGATATTTACAACTAAAAAAAATCTCTACAATTTGGTTGTCTTCAAGATTTATAAAAGAAAAAAAGAAATATTATAACTTTATCATTCATGCTCTATTGTAATGACACGTGTCAAGTAGGACGGATCTACCCATTTTTTAGATTTAAAAAAACGTATATAAGATTGTAGTATATAGCAACAATACATAATGGATATATTTTATATAGTTTTTTTTAAAAAAACTACACGGTTCTTGAAGATATTCTATCTGTAAAAAAATTATAAATATATGTATATTCAAAAAATATAAATTTTTAGATTTTAAATCTATTTTTGAATTAAATAGTATGATTTTATTAAAAAAATTATTGCACGAGTATAGATATTCACGGATATCCATTTTTCATGAGATAGAAAATAAGATATTTTTTTATAAAATCCGTAGAGACGAAAATGAGATCGGATATCTCCAAAATTGTTGGTACCCGATCCGTATCGATGGTCGGTCCCTGCTGCTACTTGCGGGGAAGTGAAGTGCCTTCAAAGCCAAGCACAAAACCTCACTCGCTTTTTAACTTTTCCCCATCAGTCCGACCACTCCTTTTATACAAAACCCATTTTCATTGATCGTTAACTCCTAAATTCTATTTTAGAGAAAAAAAAAAAAGGAAAGGAAATCGTCTCTCTATATATAAACACATACATACATGTATACGAGTATCTTCTCTTCCCTTCACTTCCCATCTGTCTGAATTGAAGGACATTTGACCAGACCAGATATGCTTCTTCTTCCAGATCTTCTTCCCTTGGAACATCTCTTTTCTTCTTCGTTTCTTCGTATTGATAATGGAAGTTGTTTCTGCCCCCGTTAGATCATGTGGCTGTTGAATTTGGCGGCTGTTGGAGGGGGAATATGTACTCCTCGTCCGATCTATATATATATATATATATATATGTATAGTTGAATGTAGTGCTTGTGATTTGAATTGGTCACTCTTTTTTACAAATAATATAATAATATCGAGAATTTGCTTGTTAGTTTGTTGAACATTTACGGGATCGAAATTAAGTGTATGGACTGCTTTAAAACATACGATCTTGAATCTGTGTCCAAACTCTGCATGCGCTTTTTCACCACAACGGAGTAACGCCATTGTACGGAATCTTGATCTTGCATGTCGTCAGAGCCCTTTGACAGATCTCGGGAGCAAAATCCTTCAAGAAATCCGAAACTACACGTTCTTGATTCATCCTTAGCTCTTCCATCTCATGTTTCTGATTTATCAACAAATACTCGAGCGTCTCGGCTATCTCAGCGATCTTTACTTCATCTCTTAAGTCGGTTTCTTCGGGCTGTCGGGACAGTTTAGAACCAGGCCGTGGCCCGAATAGTGAGTTCCCGGCCGCCGTTGAAGCCTTGGGCGAGGACCAGAATTTTCTCCCCGATGGCAGTCTTTCGAGACGCAAAGTGGCCGGAGATGACAAGCACTTGTTGATCACGAAATTCTCACGAACGTTTTCATGGTTGCTGTTATTATATCCAGAGGGAATCCAGTCCGGGATATGCGAACGTATCTCCGCATCGATCATTTCAGCTATCGTCGAGACATCTTGGTCATCCGTAAGATCCAACTCTTCCACCATTTCGAGAGCGACCGAGAAAGAAGTGTCCGCCTCTATGTCGAATGGGAAGTGAATGTTTCGGACATGACCTGGTAACAACATATGAATGTGTTGTCGTGACTGTCCTGTCGCTCGCATAGAGATCTAAAAAGTTGAGTAACTGAGAAAAAAACCTGCGGAATCGGCGATACGTAGCTTCAGGAAAATCGTATTGACGTCCTTACGCTGGCCTTCTACCGTTAATCCGATACCCGAATCTTGGATTAATGCATCTCCAATGTTCTTCTTTCCATTGCAGCAAGCTTCTGCATCATTTTATGGTCGATATATATATACACATATATATATAGCATAAAGAAGTTACATAAATTTGAGTCTCATTGCTCTTATAACAAAAAAGATCGAACCTTTGAGAGGGCCCTTAAGATGCAACGGACAGCCTATGCATCCGATATCTCCCTCGTGACATTGGAGAAAAGGATCATCCAGAAGCTGCTCGGCTGAAAGGCGGTCCGAGACCTTAGCAATACACTTCTCTATGAATGTTCTCACTCGGATATCCTTCACATTGGCTAGCGAGGCCGGCTTAATTCCCTGCCAAAGCATTCTCAAAGATCAAGCATAATCGTATATCGAATAATTCTTGTGTACAATCGAAGAAGAAATCACTTACCGATGTTACTTTCTTGTATATTTGAGCGGCATTGGAGCATTCGAGATATGGATACTCAAGGGTTACCAACTCGAGCAAACACATCCCGAAGGCGTAGATATCCACGAGTTCATTGTAATCCTCTTCATAAAGCTCCGGTGCCATAAACTCGGGAGTTCCTAAACGATTTCCACAATTTAGAAGGGCAGATCATACCAAACACAATATCAAAAAAAGGCATCTTGGATCATGGAAGAAAACTGACCGATGACGCTGTGAGCAGAACGAGCTTGACGAAGAATGGCGGCTAAGCCGAGATCTCCAATTTTGACCTCGCCTTGGTTGCCATTAATGAAGATGTTATCACATTTCAGATCTCTATGGATCACTGGAGGATCATGGCTGTGAAGATAAACAAGACCCTCCAGTATCTGTCTCGACCATTTCTTCAGTGCTCTCAGATCAACCCTCTTATGCTTCTTACGATACCTGCGTGTGTAACATCAACATATACATACACATATACATATGTAAGAGACAGATACCTCAAAAGGGTTTTCATCAAATCGCACCAGGAGAACAAACACGCAGCTGTTCGAAGATCTACGCCCATAAATCAGATAATCTAAAAAAGGGGGGGAAAGTGCTCACTGGCGGAGGGTTCCGGAGGTGAAAACCTCGGTGATGATGTTGATGGTTTTGTGTCCGGAATCGATCCAAGAGGCGTAAAACTTGATTATGCTTTTGTGGTTAAGAGTCTTTAGCAAGTGAACCTCCGAATACAGACGCTCCAAATCCTCGGAGCTGCTAAGAACGTCGTCCACTTTGACTTGGTTCCACGCCACTTCAATCCCTTCCATCTCGTCAAATGCCCTGTATCTGTATTCCTTTCATCAAGGGTCACTGTTATTTTCTCCACTTGCGTTATGGTAATTCATATATTACACCACACGTCCCCGGCACAAAAGATTTCGAAAATGCACAAAAATAAAAGGATACACTTTTTTGAAAGATCCTCTGCCCAGAACTTCTTTGTACTGAAAATGCAAAAGAAAAAGGTCGAGCTTTAGAAAGATGTGAATGAACAAAACGTTTAAGAAGGAGAAAGAAAAGGGTTTGTGAAGGGAACAAACTCGGCCATAGCGACCGGTCGGATCGATCTCCACGAACTCGGTGTCGGAATCTTCCGCGTCTTGTCGCATGCTTCGATTCGTCGATGTCCGAACAGAAGGATTTCAAGCGATGAGGCAGAAGAAGAAGAAGAGTTTCGTGGAAACGAAGCGTTATGCAAATGCTTTTTAATGCAGCTTCGGGATTTAATTGCGGTTGGGTGTTAGAATTTGCATTGAAATAATTTTATAAATACGATTTATAAATTCCTCTGAGAAACAATCTCGGAAAATCTCGATTTTCTGAATGGGGAAAGGTCACACGATATAAATAGGCAAAGATCATTCATGCAATTTGCCATAAAGATCCACGTGACAATTCCACGTGGCACAGATGGGCTGTTTGCCTCTTTCGCGCCTTAGATCCGGTTTTCTTTCCTTCCCGTCATTTATTGCCATGTGATAAGTTATAAATTCGGTTTAGTCGGGTTTGGTCTGGTGTTTCATTCTAGTATTATACCGAATTTTCATGGAGAACGGATGAATTGTGGAAATTTTTTTCTTTTTGGGTTATTTTGGTATTTATACAATTTAGACACTAAACCGGTTTGATGCTCCAATGAAACCATACTTTTATACGTTGACCAAGTCCGATCTCAAAGGGATATGGAAAGCTATTGCGTGTTAAAGGGAACTCGATGTTTCCTCTTTCTTTACGAGCGAGAAGATATATATGAAATGTGTATGGTGGACTCCCTTCCTTCCATATCTCGACGGTCCATTGACGTTGAAACGTTGTGATTAGAAAAATAATGAAATAATTGAAATTATGTTAAATTGGATTTGCCGTAAGAATATGCAGTATGAACGTGGAATATAACGAGGGATCTTTTATCTAAACACAGTCAGTCAATGAGTCCATGCCCGTAAAATAAGTCGTCGGTAAAGACTTGTTGGTCCACGACCATCTTTCTCCCTTTTGTCTTCTTCCTCCGATGCCATCCTTCATAGCCCCCCACATCGAGGATCTTTGTATCCGATCCATAAATCTGAGCTCTCTTCCGTTTTCTCTCCATCAACAATGGCGGGCACTCGGAGAAACTCGCTCCTCTTCGTCCTTTTCTCAGCTTCTCTGATTTCTCTCTGCCTCGCTCGGACTCCGGCGACGGCCGATCGCAGGAGACTTCGGTTTGGTCGGAACGGAGAGTTCAAGATTCTTCAGGTGGCGGATATGCACTTCGCCAACGGCGCGACGACTCCGTGTCTTGACGTCTTACCCAGCGAAAGACATGGCTGCTCCGACCTCAACACCACCGTGTTCTTGTCGCGAATCATCGCCGTGGAAAAGCCCGATCTCATCGTCTTCACCGGTACAATCGCAAACCCTAGCTTTGCATATCTTGTTTCTGAATCTGGGCACTTGTTCGATTCATGTGGATGTCCCATGGGATTGCGATTCGTCTACTGGAACACCCTAAACCCTAATCTATGGTGATGATTGCAATCTGGGTATGATTTCTGATTCAAATTATTGTCGACTTGTAGGTGACAATATATTTGGGTCTGACACTAAGGACCCTGTGAAATCGATGAACGCTGCGTTTGCGCCAGCGATTGCGTCTAAGAGCCCTTGGGTTGCCATTTTGGGGAACCACGACCAAGAATCCACCATGACCCGACGAGGACTCATGAACCACATAGTCACACTTCCGTACTCTCTGTCCCGAGTGAACCCACCTGAGGCTTCCCATTACATTGACGGGTTCGGTAATTACAATCTCCAAGTTGGCGGAGCTGATGGGTCGAGTTTCCAGAACAAATCTCTGCTCAATCTCTACTTTCTCGACAGCGGAGATTACTCGCACGTACCGTTCTTCGGCGGCTACGACTGGATCAAACCTTCCCAGCAATTCTGGTTCGAACTCACCTCCAAACATCTCGAGGTATGGCTCTTCGATACGAAACACATTAATCTCTGGATCAATGTTTCTGGTTATTGATCATCGTGTTGCAGAGGGAATACATGGAGACGCCAAATCCTCAGACCGGCCCAGCTCCCGGACTAGCCTTCTTCCACATTCCCTTACCCGAGTTCCGGCGCTTCAACACGTCCAGCGCCAGTAAGGGGGTGAGACAGGAAGGCACTTACTCAGCCTCGACAAACTCAGGATTCTTCACGTCGATTGTCACGAGAGGAGACGTGAAGGCGGTGTTTGTGGGTCACGACCACCTCAACGACTTCTGCGGGAAGCTCGGAGACGTGAACCTGTGCTACGGAGGGGGTTTCGGGTACCACGCCTATGGGAAGGCCGGGTGGGCGAGAAGGGCGAGAGTGGTGGCTGCCGGCTTGGAAAGAACAAGAAATGGGAGGTGGGGGAATGTCCAATGGATCAAAACGTGGAAACGTCTCGACGATCAGCATCTATCTGTTGTCGATTCTCAGCTTCTTTGGAGTAAGAGTGGAATGAACACAGCAGGTGTTCCTCTTCTCTGATGATTCAAGAACAACAAAAAGAAAATGTAGGGATCGCTGTGGAAAACACATTATCAGAGATTGTCCTTTTTTTCACTAAACAAATAATAATGAATGTTTTGCCACTAATATATTGATGAAAATGCGAGGCATCGAAAAATTTTATAGCAATAATAAGAACATGTGGAGTGATAAGTGATGGAAATGGATTGTTTTAGAATGTATATTTACTATTAAGTTTTAACCTTTCTTTTAATCTTTTGATGTTTTATGATAATGTATATTATATCTACTAATGCAATTAAAGTTATATTACACATGTTATTTGAATTTGAATTTTATTTGTCATTGTAAATATTTTGTGTATTTCTCTTGGTTCCAGCTTTTTTTTTTAAAAAAAAAACTGCCGCTTGGGCTTATTATTCTTTTTTTTATTAGAAATTATTATTTTTAGATGTCTTTTGCACCAAAAATATTATTTTTTTTTCCTCGGGACCCTCATGAAATGAAAATTAAAATATTTTCTTGGTTCATCATCGGCTTTCTGAATCGTTGTAGATTTTTTTTAATAAAAAAACATTTTTCTCCGTCCGGTCTAGGAATATTTCATTTTGTCGTCGTTTCTAGAAAATGACCAGATGTTGAAATTCTACACTTGGAAACTTTGGTGGACAGAAGCCGACCAACAAAAGCTATGTGAAACACGAACGCGAAAACCTTAAAATCTCCCAACTCTTAACATAAGAAAGCAAAAAAAAACATTTAACTCACAAGACATGGAACTCTTAGTTGCCGTATCCTCGATCCTCATCATCATCGTAACCGTTCTCCTCCTTAATCTCCTCTTCAAACGCACTTCCTCTTCCACCGCTAAGAATAACGCAAACGCACCACCGTCACCGCCGGGGCTTCCGGTGATCGGAAACCTCCTCCAGCTTGGCCGCCACCCTCACCGCTCTCTATGCTCCCTCAGCCACCGATACGGGCCGCTCATGCTCCTCCACCTCGGGAAAGTCCCCGTCTTGGTCGTCTCCTCCGCAGACGCGGCTCGAGGCGTTTTGAAAACGTACGATCTCGCGTTTGCAAGCCGTCCCAGGTCGAAGTTGTTCAAGAAGCTTTTGTATGATGGAAGAGATGTGGCACTCGCACCTTATGGAGAGTATTGGAGACAGATGAAGGTATATCTACTTTAAAAATATATATATAAATACTAGAAATTCGGCGTTAATTACAATAGCAATCTAGGGTTCATGTTTTCATATAACAGAGGGTTAAGGGTTTAGATTCTTATTTCAACTTATTCTTATACGATACACGTAAATTAAGTTACTAAATTGAGGCTTATCCTCGTCCGATGCTATATGTATATATATGTATGTATGTATGTATAATGAGTTTTTTTTGGATGGGGTGAAGAGCGGTCGACAGTTAGCAACAAAATGATTCGATCTTTCCGGAACGTGAGGGAAAAAGAGGTGAAACTGATGACGGAGAAGATCGAGAAAGCTGCGTCGTCTTCTTCGCCGTTGAACGTAAGCGAGATCTTTACAACACTGACAAACGATGTGATATGTCGAGTTGCATTGGGCAGAAAGTACGGAGGAGATGTAAATTTCGAGGAGTTGATGAGGAGATTCACGAAGATGTTGGGCAAATTCTGCGTCAGCGACCACGTTCCGTGGTTAGGGTGGATAGATAGGATCTGTGGTTTGGATGACGAGCTAGAAAAGATCGGAAACGAGTTCGACGAGTTCCTCGAAGGAGTCGTGAAAGATCATTTAGATGGTCGTGAACAGTGGCGGATTTAGAAAATTATTCAACAGGGGGCAAACATAATTTTTTCTATTATAAATGGGGGCATTTCTAATTTTATTTGCAAATTTGTAAAAATTTACATAGAAAAATACAGTTTTTAATTAAACTAATGGGGGCCTTTGCCCCATTGCCCTTAACGTGCATCCGCCACTGGTCGTGAAGGAAATACGGCCGACTTCGTTGACGTGTTGCTCGAGATTCAAAGAGAAAAGAAACTCGGGTTCGAGATCGATATGGTCGGCATAAAAGCTATAATCTTGGTAAGGGTAAACCTCACTAATCTTTGAGATTAAAGCATTGTTACAATAGTAAACAAAAAAATTAGCCGTTTTTTTTTTTGGAAAAAAATGAAATCAGGATGTATTCGTGGGTGGTACGGACACATCGTCCACATTACTAGAATGGGCAATGACAGAACTTATGAGACATCCAGAATCTATGAACAGACTGAAAGAAGAAGTACGTTGTTGTACGGTCGGAAGACATAAACAGAACGTGTCGGAAGATGGCATTCACGAGATGAAGTACTTAAAAGCTGTGATCAAAGAGTCTCTCCGGTTGCATCCTCCGCTTCCATTACTAGCCGCTCGAGAATCCATCCGACACGCCAAATTCCAAGGTTATGATATTCCATTGGGCACTCAGGTGATTCACATTTAAATTTCCCTTTAATTAAAGATTTTAACCTAAAGTTTTTTTTTATACATTTGTAAATCGATGTATTCGTCCGCGATCGAGCAGGTGATGATCAATGCTTGGGCGGTGGGGCGGGAAACCGCAACATGGGGAGTGGATGCGGAAGTGTTTAGGCCGGAAAGGCATTTAGATTCGGATGTGGATTTTCGGGGACAGGATTTCAAGTTGGTTCCTTTTGGGGCAGGGAGAAGGATATGCCCGGGAATAGCGTTTGCGATAGCAATCGACGAACTTGCGTTGGCAAACGCAGTCCACCGGTTCGATTGGAAAACAGCAAAGGGAACAAATGAGGACCGAACCGGAGAAGTATCCGAATCAACTGGTATTCCGGTTCACCGATTGTCCCCTCTCATTGCGTTTGCACATCCCACTTGACCAGACCAGACGTCTAGCAAAATAAATGGAAAAAATAATACTAAACGTGAAACGCGACAAAATTATATCCTTCATCATGGGGTTGGTTGCGACATGTTTTCTTTTCTTCTTTTCCACATAAATTAGAGACCGTACTTGTTTTAATTATAATCACATGTGATTAGTAACATGGTTACGCTCTACAAATCAACCACTTAATTTCGTCGGTCAAAAATCAATTAAAGATTTGCCCTTTTTTTTGGTTGATAACGGAGAAATCCGCCTCTTTGCTCTTCAGATACGCATTGGATAAATTCCGCTCTCGTATAATAGCTTGTAAACCACAAGAGATATAAACCAGCTTAGATTATCCATAGCTGACAGGTTCACAGGTGAAGAGGATAAAAGAATTCGAACCCCCACCTTAAAATTAAAGAACCTAATATTCAATTAACTTATTTGGGATTTTCCAGATTTGCCCTTTTATTTTCATTTAGAGAATACTTTCGCATTTGTGTCTATATCTTTTTTTTTTTTTACAAAACATTACATTACATACTCACAAATGAAGTGTATTTTTTTTTTGTTATAAAACCAAATTTCATTATGTGTCTGGAAGAAAATTACAAGCAATACTGAATAGTTTTTTTTTTTAACCATGATGGTTCTTCGCGACTTCGACCCGATTACAATACTGAATAGTTACACCTGCAAGAGAACAAATCAAGGGAATCTATCGAAGTGGCGGAACCATCAGAGACAGGAATTCACGGCTGCACGGGAGCCAAAGCATACCGCCGACAGCCGTGACCAAGGAGATCCGAAATTATGTTCGGAGCAAACTACACTCGGTTTAAGCAAGCTTACCGCTCGCAAGACGAATCATTACTCACCCAACTCTTAACATAAGAAAGCGGTGAGGATGGCGGCCAAGCTGGAGGAGGTTTCCGATCACCGGAAGCCCCGGCGGTGACGGTAGTGCGTTTGCCTTCTTCTCAGCGGCGGAAGAGGAAGTGCGTTTGAAGAGGAGATTTATAAGGAAGAGAACGGTTATGGCGATGACAAGGATCGAGTATACGGCAACTAAGAGTTCCATGTCTTGTGAGTTAAATGTTTTATTGCTTTCTTATTTCCAGAATTTCTGAAAAATATTCAAAATGTGCTCAAATGTCCAATTTAACAAATTAGATTAAAAAAATTTATATGTACATAAACACCCTATAGTATTATTATAAATTTCAATTGAACAAAAAACAAAAAACATTAAAATCTTGTTTTTTTTTCAACCGGAGTTTTCTTATTTATTCGGTCATAATTGCCTAATTGGATTAATTTTTATAGCGTACTTCTTTAATAAGCATCGGGAACAAAACTGAAACAGCCATGGAAATATCAAATTTTACAAGACAATTGTACATATAATTGCATGAAATCCAATAATATCATCGGTGGGGGGACCGACGAATCTCTAAACGTGAAACGCGACACAATTATATCATTCATCATGCGGCTGGTTTGAATGCGACGCGTTTTCCATTTTTTCACATAAATTAGAAACAGGACTTGTTTTAATCATAATCACATGTGATTAACAACATGATTACGCTCTACAAATCAATGACTTTATGGGATACGTTGCCGTTTGTATCTAAACGAAAATTTTCTTATATAAAGCATTATATACATTTTTTTTTATAATTCAAGAGTTTATCAGATCGACTCAACTATATTTCTCATAATATCAGATAAAATCATATAAATAACCTTTTCAATTAAAAACTCGAACCTAGATTGAAAAAAAATATATGTTTTTTTTTTATGAATTGATCTAATCTTGGATAAATATTATATATATACACAAATGAAGTGTACCGATTTGATAAACCTTTTTACCTAGAACGCGGTTTTAAAAAGAAGAGAGTTTCAAACTTAAGAAAAACAATTATGCGACTAATGAGAAAAATAATTAGGTGAGATAATGATAGACCGAAGATATGAAGTCGAGGCAACCTTCCAGACACGTAACAACTTCAAAAAAATTTAAGCTTAATTTATATCAATTTCAGATTGAATTATCGATCACTAGACCAGTTATATATATATATATATATATTTAATGCTAAATCTACGAATCACGACCCAAGTAAAAAGCAGATCAAAATATGGATTTAAAAATTTAAAAAGGAAATAATAATTTTGTTTTTTTTTTTGAATCATATTGTGCTATTGGCATCAAAGGTTACAAACAAACAAACAAATGCAACCACAGGGCAAGATTAAAGGGTGACTCATCTACAAATTCAGCCCTCTTAACCCAAAGCGAAAGGTACCATATAAACACCTTTTGCCCATTATATAGAAAAAAACAAATCTTGTAAATTTTTTGAAGTATATATAATATCAAATATTATAAAATATCTACATAGTTGAAACCTTTAGGACGACTTGAGGATCCTTGATTAAGCCTTATGATTGGCCTTCATGGGTGTCCCCTTTTTGCTCCTTGTGATGAGACAAAGAAGACATCACTTTTGCAGAAACAACTCTTCTCACCAAAAGATTCCACTTTGTGTCCTCCTCCATCTTCTCCTCTTCCTCCGCTCTTTTTCTAAATTGTCTGCCAAAAAAAGGTTGAAAATATGACACGGTGGCTGCATGAATTTCGTGGAGCAGTGCAATTTTGATTTTCTTACAAATGGACCACCAAAGTGGACCTAAGATTCGAAGATGATTTTCTCTTGTCGCCGAAAGGGAGATGACCAGAAGCTGAATGAATGCCAGGTGCTTTGAAAGGCACTGTTCAATTATTAAAGAGAGAGAAAAAAACGAGAGGATACCTGCAGAGAGGAACCCGGCAATGTTCGTGTTGGTCGCAGATGGAAGAGTGAAGCCTAAGGAGCTGCAACATCCGCTTGCAACGGAGACAACCCTGCCCTTTAGCCCGTCTCTTGCAAACTGCGAAGTGCCGTATCAGTAGCTGTAGGCCGTGACACGTCGAGAATGCCCTGCACGGCCGTGACTTGGTCCCCGGTTCCACGTTATTGGGTCCGACCAGCGTGCAACCTTCCGTGCATATGTGCTCTAAGCAATCCATCGCCTCGCTCAGTTGCATGTACACGCTTTGCTCCCGTCTGTGTCGCCTCCTTCTTTTCTTCCTCTGCCAGAAACTCTCACAATCAGGACGGATTAATACAGATTATGAAACTATCCAAAACAGAGGTAAAGTCACGTACCGATTCGGTCTCTTCGATGAACTGGAGGATGTCGAGCTCGAGGAAGGGGTCATGCTCCTGGAGGAACTTCCAGCCCTCTGTCTGCTCCACGGTCTTGAAGTGAGCGTAGATGAGACGCATGCATCTGAGGCAGAGGTCGGGGGCGTCGCATAGCCTCGCCAGCTGGAGAACGTCGACTACGTTCGCCGCCGTCAGGCAGTGACCGACGCCTTTCGTGCACCGCTGCTTCAGCGGAGCCACCATGTAGACGTGCGACAGGGCGAGCAGGTGGATCCCGTACTTCTCCATCTCCTCCTCCGTCAGGCTACGCGAAAACAGGGGAGGGGGATGTAAGGGTATTTTGGTCAATTTGATATGAGAATGGTTTTGTAAAAAAACACCAACACAACGATCCCAGAGTTTCCTGGGATTTAGATTTAAGATTTTTTATGGGCCCTTCGGCATGGATTTTCAATATTGATTTATATGAAATGGAAGTCTTAACTTTGATTCTACACTGCATGGAAATAATTGCAAAGAGAATCGTCAGATCTTCCGTTTGAGAGAATCAGAAAATAAAGCTGTTTTGGATTTCGAATGGGAAAATCGACGAGAAGAAGAATAGACACAGATGAAACAAAACGTCAGAGGTCGTCGGAGCAAAACCAAACCTGGAATTGTAGAGAAATTCGACGAAGACGGAAACGGCGCCACATGGAACGCCGAGAACCCTAATGACTCTTCTGCCGCCGCCGTGGCGTTTGGTCCGCCTCTCGATGATGTTTTTCAGCACCGGCGAAGCTGAAACCTGCATTCCGTGATCCAAACACCAAATGAAGAAAAACGATGACACAGAATTAAAATCCACAATCCGAGGAAATCTTGAAAACTAGAAAAACTAAAGGAGGGACGCATAGCCAATCGAATAATATCTCACCAGGATGCCGGAGTGCGCCGGAATCCGTCGGCGTCCGGAAGTGACGATTTCGACATCGGGATCCGCTAAATCGCGGGGAATCTTACCGGTGGTGTCCGGCGCTGAGGCGGCGATCGCCGTCGTGATGAGCACAGCTGCCATTTTAGAGAGAGAGAGATTTGGGAGAGAGATTGTTGGTGTGGAGAAAAATGTTCGGGTGTCTACGGCTTTATAGGACAACTCAACATAGCTGGGGCTGCTCAACTGCATACGTGGCATTTTTCACTTTGGAACTTTCCTACTGTAATCCACGCGCTACTTCAGAAGCGTGGGGGTTTCCTATGATTGTGATTTTTCTAAAAAAAATGGCAAGAAATTGGGGGGAAATGAAGGGAAATCGGAGAAAGGGCAACGACTAATGGCCTATTTTGTAACGGTAATTGCTATTTATTTATAAATGTTGAGTTGTATTGGTCTAACCAAAAAATCTGTATGTAGTAAGAATTAGAAATAAAAATAAATTCTATAAATGAAAAATATTGGCTCTATTTTAAAATCGATTTATCGAATATGGAACTTAAAATAGGAGAAAATATAAATGAGGATATTGTTGTTGTTGTTTTTTTGGAAAGGACGAATAATGTAGATGCTGTTTTTTTGGGATTTATTTCTCCATTTCACAAGAAAAAAATACCATGAAAAGTTTTGTTTTCTCAAACAGAAAAGACCAAATGAGCAAGTTATTTTTTCATATCTAAGTTTTTATAACACGATAAGCTAATTTTTTCTATACCGAAAAGGAAAATAATTTCAATTTATTTAGTTGTATTTATATTTTGTTTAAATTTTCTATATTTATTTGTATATTGTGTTTTAATTTGTTTTAATTAAATTTTTATTTGAATTTAATAACTATTTTTTGAAGACAGTTGATTCGACTTTTTTCATATTCGATATTTAATTTGAAATAAATTATAGCCAATTGATTTTTAATTTGAAATTAATTAATTATAATATATTTATATATTATTCTCTTGATTTTTGAGATCTGAGATACCAACCCCGTAATTTCATCCGGTTATTATTTACTAGTATTATTTAATTTCATATAACAAAAAAAAATGTGCCTAGACGACTACAAAGTTTTGTAATCCTAAAAGCGTTGTATTACGTGGAATTCCGACACGGAAATTGTATTTATGTGAATTTGCCAACAATGAAAGGTCAATTAAAATAGGAATACTTTCTGGGTCGACGTGGATATGATTTGTCCCCACGAAGAAGATTTATGTTTTGTAAGGATCCTACGTGGCCTTGTCATCCAATTCAAGAGCCCATTTCTTAATTCAGAAAGGCCGGTTCCCAATTTAAACCGACCTTTGCCTCTCCCAAGAGCCACTCTCCGTGTCCCACGTGGCACTCGTTTTCGTTTTTTCTCTGACCTGCCACGTGTTACTCTCTCCTTGGTCCATAAGTTTGTCTGATTTTATTTTGCATAAATATCACGAGAAAACATTCTTATCTTCTTCCATTGGATATTTGATAAATTGTTTTTTATTAGCTAAGCCGTCTAATCACATTGTCGAGTTTTCAATGATTTATGTCATTTCATTATGAATATATGATTCGTGTTTTTTTATATAACTATAACAATAACCCTAATTATTCATCATATGTGCACGCTAACTCATTGATTTATGTATGCTAGTGCGAGCATGATTTAGTATGTTAAAAACTAATATTTTTTAATGAATATGCGAAATGCAGACTATTTTTTTGGACATTCTAGTAAGAATATTTATTTCATTTAATTTCCCATCGTTTTGGTCGTCTAAAATTTCTCGAGCGTCCGAACAATAAATGAAGATACGATTGGCTCGTCGTGAAGTCGCCGCGTATATGAACGAAAGCCACGTGTTAGCAAGAGGCTATCCAGAGGGTGAGGTGTACAATAAGTTCGGCGCATTCTCACCATTCATTGCGTGCCACGTGTCCCAGGATGACACTGCCATCGAATTTGGATCGGCCGACGATCTCTCCCACGAACCAAATGACGTAATGAACGGTAGGTAATTTATTCATTTGTTATATTTTTAAAAACAGTCAAAATATATAATAATATAACTTTCTATCAAAACTTTAAATTATCCAATTAGTATTTTATTTTATCATTATTCGCTCAAAACATACTAAAATTTATCGTAATTTAATTCGGCTCAATATATTTCTAAAGGTACATAGTAAACAAATGTTAAAAATAGAAAATTATAAAAAAAAACATATGTAATCTCTAATAAGGTTAAGAATTATTATTGTATAATTTTTGGAAGATCTTCTGTTGAAGAGAAGAGACACGATTTCGTATCATAAAATTTGTGCTTTGATATTTTATTTAATTATTTTATTTGGCCAACAATATCCTATTTAGCCAACCGAGAAGGACCAACGTCTTGTCATCATCATCATTATCGTTGTTGTTATTATTATTAAAATTCAATAAAAATAAGTGTATATATAAAATAAAACTCAACTAAATTCAAACGAAAAAAATATGCCCCAAATCCACGGACGACGGTCGGTAAAATGTACAATCACATGATTATGATTGAAATAATTATTAATGTTTTGTATTATAGTATAATTTTTTGTATTATGTAATATTTTTTTTTCATCTTGATTAATCTTCCAGAAATATGTATTTATGGTAATAAAAAAATTAGATGAAAACGCAAAAATTGTGCAATAAAGATAATTAATACACCATCGTATCAAAGCGACAATTAATTTGCAATGTTCTAATGAACAATTTTATAACAGAAGATCAAATATTTTGATATTATATATTCAACCTAAATGTAATAAGGCCAATAACGAAATGGCCTAATTGTATCAAAAAATGTACGAGTTTGAATTCCTACCATTTTTTTATTTACAGGTGAAGAAAAGGAATTGAATATTTCGTTATGTTTTGATTTAATTTTAATTTATTGGCCGACCAGAGTGAGTGCGCCGCATAAGCCTGGACCAAAAGGTGCCCTTTGGATCTAGTTGACGAAATTAAACAAAATTTTAATCTTATTTCAAGTGGTGCTTTATTTATTTAATTTGTTCTGTCGGTCCGACGATAACCCATAGCATGAACCCTCCGGGCGAGAGAGAGGTTCCTCTCAGGACAAAGAAGACATTTTGCTGCAGTTTCCTCGGATAGTCCGTCATTGGTTCCACGTGAGAAGCACGTGACATAGGAGAGTTGTAAGATGTCAATCAATCACCATCATCTTTTTGTAAACGTTCTCAGAGGTATTGAGAGAGCAATTAAACTCTGTAAATCTTTACCTCACAGTAAAACTGTTATTATTGTTTTTACAGTAGTTAGATTTATTATGCAGATAAATTTAGAGAGAATCTAAATTGTTGATTTTGTGAAAAAAACTATTAAGAATTGAATATAAGATTTGACGTTAGAGATAAAGATGAATCAACAACAAGATGAAAATGAATCTGAATACTCAAGATTTGTGATGATGATGGCGATTTTTCAAAAACTTTTAATTTGATGGTTGATGATTATTTAATTAGATAATGTATGTGTATATTTTAGCAAAAGTAACACCCAACGCCTTCCCAAGGAACATTCTATTTCATGATAGCCAAAATCTATTAGAGGAAAATAAAATAGTGACAAAGTTGGAAATAGTTTTGTTTAAAAGCTTCTATGGTTACCATTCTCAACCATGTGTTATGCTAATTTGTGAATAGATTTGCATATTTTATTGGAATTATGATCTATGATATAAAGTTTTTTTTTTCCCTAATAACCAGCGGTTATAATTTGAATATTTAACGTCATCGATGACGCAGCAAACAAATTATTAAACACCGTCGTCGATGTGGCTTCGGAAGAGTAAAAGATAACAAATATTATTTGTTAAATTGTCAAAATTGAATCTTGCACCCCAAAAATTTTGACCCACTGTAGTTGACCGTTGACTTTCCTCCCGTAGTCTTTGGAGCCATTGACGGCGCGAACAATTATTCTATGGATTTATCCAAAATTCATTTTATTCGTTTTCAGTTACAAATTAATTAACACCAATCTTATGCTTATACTCCACAGCTTTCGGACAAGGCTGACGTTTCTTCTCTTATCAAAAAGCAAATGTACGAAGGCCACCAATTGAAATAAGTTCATTCATAAAATCTGGTAGGTCTAGGGTTGTTTATTTAAATAATCCAAAAAATAACAATTAAAATGGCCAAATGTTATTTGAAAAATATATTTTTTAAAGGGCAAAACCGCGCAAAATTAAACACCAAGGTAAACCCTTAACCCAAATGCAACGTATAATATGAGGCAGAGAGGCTCCAAACAAATGGAACCAGGATCTTACATCTGATTTAACGTCGAGGATCTAAAGATTCAAATGTAGAACATGCAAATAATAAAAAATTATGATTTTCCAATTTAAATAAAATCCACGCAGCTAATTAATAACATGTTTAAACCCTTTATTATAACGTAAAATTTCAATATAAATGTATTTTCCAATTTGAAGTGAAATCATAAATAAATATACTAAAAGCATGGTCGTAACTCCAAATCTCAAAATCATTTGGGCTAAATACATTTATTAAAATATTTTTCGAGGGGGTTATTAGGGTTCTCTCTTTCGAGGAGACTCTAATTCCCGTAGCTTGGTTGTAAATTATATAGTACAAATTCACGGGCTATTTTAGTAATCCAATTTGATTCTGGAACAAAATTTTATATATATATATATATATATATATATATATAAATAAATAAGATAATGAAAATGTGCAAAAAGAAAAAGGAAGAAATAGAATGACTAAGAGAGGTCGTTGCGAAGTCGGTCCATGGCGGGGGAGAGAGCGACACGGAAGGCTTGCTCCGTGGGATGGACGTAGTCGAAAAACACGTGCTTGGTTGGCTCCACGCACCACCACGGGTTCGTCACCCTGAAACAGCTCGGCCTTGTCCCCGTCGTAAACCCTAATCATATATATATTCCGCATCCATTCATTCATATATATATATATATACACATTTATCGATTCGAGAAAAGGAAAAGTATCTATGTCGCCGATCCATGTTACCTGATTTCTGAGGGTTTTTTACGAGATCAAGAAAAGAGTTGTACATGTCGATGTAGATGAATCTAGCGTTCGGTAGCTTCGAGTTTAGATCGCTAAGCTCGGCCGATAACTTGTGGTTGAACATCTTGGCCACACGATTCTTAGTTTTGAAGCATAACCCTCTACGCATATTAGTGTGGAACGGTAGACAGCCCAATGGTAACGTTCCCATTACTCCGAATTTTCTTACTCCAACATCATACAAATCCTTAAAAACATATTACAAACAACAAATCGACCAATTGTTATATCATAACTTTTTAACCGATGTTTTTATTATATAATTATAAATTCGTTACCTTTAAAATGGATCTTGTCCACGTGATCAAGAGGTCTGTATATTCAGATATACTGTATTGTGAAGCTTTAGCACCGGAGAAATAAGTGATGCCGATATCGTTATTTCCGGCGCTGATGAGAAATACGGCATTCGATATGATTGATTGTGTTTTGTTTGGATCTCCGGTTACAGAATTTAGCTTTCCTATGTAATCTTTGAAGTCGTTTACTTGGTCCCGCACCCATATAACATTCTAATTCATATCCAACAAAGAAAAAAAATAAAGTTATTATCAAAGATAGATAAAAGCAAACTATAGAGATTTTAAATGATAAATTGCCGAAATGAAGTAATCGGGCTTGTACCTGTATTTTGGCAGTGAGTTTATCTAAACCGGAGCCACCGGATGCGAAACAGACACCGGTTAAGAGATCATCCGGTTTAAGATCCGGTTTACGGTATGCGGGCACGGTTTGTTTTATCCCCAAAGCTTCGGCTGTTGACAAACAAAAACGAAAACTACATAACATTCCCAAAGTAGTTTACTTTATAGGAAAAAAAAAGAGAGAGAAAATACCGATTAAATCGGTGGGAACTTTTCCATTGGAATATCTTCCGGTGGGTGAACCATTAGGAAAATTGATTCCGTACGGGAAGAAATTGCATCTGGATACGGCCGGTAGATTGTTGTTGTTGCCGGTGTCGAGAATCGAATCTCCGAACGCGAAGATCGCCGTGACGAGGCTGTCCGTACATCGAAAACTCGAAAACCATACGGAAAAAGCTACGAACAGAGCTTTGGAAACGATGGAATTCATTTCGGTGTATGATTACAAAGGGAAAAAAACACGTGGGTTTATAGATTTGGTGAAGGACTTCTAAAGATTTTTTTTTTTTTATAGTTTTGACCACTGATTTTAGTTTCTTTCTGTTGCTGTAAACTTCCCCCGGCTTTCCCCCCCCAAAGTTTCTGAAACTTTTATTTTTAGCAAATTTTAAATCGGCTTATCTTTTTTTTTATTGATCATGTTATTTTTTGTTCTTCCGAATATTTTACTATTTACGAGATTTTTTTTGTTCCGTATACAAAATTGGGTCAGATATTCTGAAATTTAGTTGATTTTGGTTACTTTTTAGATTGATTTTTTTTTGGTTTTGGAAAGACCATAATTTTAATCATGTTCTTTGCAAAAAGGCATACAAAATATGAGCCTTTTGGTGATGATTTAGAAATATCACGAAATTTGGAAAAATTATCTAGATATTATCTAGTATTTATATTTTAATTATATTTCATCTTTAAATATTTATATTAAATAGTTATATTTTTTTTAGATTTCACTTCATATTTATGTTAAATATGTAATGGAATGTACGATTGTGATTTTTGATTTGTAGCTACTGATTATAGGATAATAGAAATCCCAAGTGCCCCATTTAATGGTAAAATACGATTAGAGAAATTTCTCGACTTGAAAATAATATTCAGAAAATATATATTTGCATTTTTCAAGTAACAAAAAGACAAAAAAAAAAAAAAAGAAACACAATCTCTCTGTTGCGTGATGATACGGATTATCTACAACTATTGGTTATTGTTCTTCTAGTTATGCATTTGCTTGACCCGACCCGACCCGACCCGACCCGACCCGGATTTGCACGTTTGTGGTCGTTAGCACCGAACCGGATAAGTTGAAGAAACCCGACCGTTATTGAATTGAGAGAGAGAGGGAGAGAGAATCACAGCCATGGCTTCTGCGACATTCTCTCTTTCCTTCGTCTCTCTGTCTTCTTCTTCGAATCAATGCCGGCCATCGGCTTTCAGCTCCAGTTCGACGCGTGCGGAGAACGCGCCACCGTTGACGGCGATGGCGAGGTTGGGATTCGTGGGTCAGGGTTTAAGATCAGCTAAGCCGATGGTCGCCAGAACCGCCGCTTCCGGTCGAATCACGTGCTCTGCTTCGTCTCATCCGGCTACTCTTCCTTCCGCTCTTCTCTTCGATTGCGACGGCGTGCTTGTCGATACCGAGAAGGACGGTCACAGGATATCCTTCAACGACACTTTCACTGAGGTTTTTCTTTCTTCTCAATTTTTTCCTCTCCGGGTTGATGTTACATTAAGATTTTGGTGCATTGATGATTGGAACAGAAATCTGAGGTTTGGTTGATGTGGAATTTTGCAGAGAGGTTTGGGTGTTACGTGGGATGTCGAATTGTACGGCGAGTTGCTGAAAATCGGCGGTGGGAAAGAAAGGTAGTTGTTGTTTGATAAGTTCACCATTTGAGCATTCATCTTGCTTCATTTGCGCTCACAACTCACAATTTGAGTAGAAAAGGACCGGAAATTCTCAGTTGTAACTAGGTTTGAGCACTGGTTTTGTTGAAGTGGTGATGTCTTTGGCTTTCTGTAAGGATGACGGCGTATTTTAACAAGGTGGGTTGGCCAGAGAAAGCTCCAAAGGACGAAGCGGAGAGGAAGGAATTCATAGCTGGTCTTCACAAGCAAAAGACCGAGTTGTTCATGGCTCTTATCGAGAAACAACTCCTTCCGCTTCGGCCTGGTGTTGCAAAGTCAGTCACTTGTCATGTTCTTTTACAACCCTTTATTCTATACCTGCTTTTGATTCAAGACTGTTATTGAACATCCCACCAAAGATTGCTTTAGCTAAGTTCTGTGTATGAAGTTGGATCTTGCAAAGCCTAATGATCTTGTTCTGCGGAATTAAGTCATGATGTCAGGAGGAATGTCTTGATCTGCTTGTTCTAACTCTTGAGTGTTCAAACACGAGTTCAGAAAAACACTTAGTTGTTCCATTTATTTTCTTTATCTGTATCAACATTTTTGGAGCATAGGTGTATCTGTTTCGATTATTCGAGTTTTCTTTCCAAAATTTTACAGGCTGATTGATCAAGCATTATCCAATGGAGTAAAGGTTGCCGTGTGTAGCACATCAAATGAGAAGGCGGTATGATCAATCAGGTTCTACTACTTCAGTTTCCCAGGAACAATTCTCAGCATATCTTGTAATCACCGTTTTCGTATCCTAAGCTGTTTAAGGAGAGGATTACACAACTGCAGTCATAAGGGTGTTCTGAAAAATGTTACAATCCATGTGCCAGGGGAACTCTCTTCTGAAAATTTTCAGTTGCTTCAGCTTGAAAGATACACAGACCATCTTTATAGCTGCAGGGGATTCCATCACTCATGTCTTTCATCCTGCTCTAACCACAGGTTTCTGCTATAGTTTCATGCTTGCTGGGGCCAGAAAGAGCAGAAAAGATCAAGATATTTGCTGGAGACGTTGTTCCGAAGAAAAAGCCTGACCCGGTAATTTCTTATTTTCCCTGTTACGATTTATCCTCTACAAAATCCGGCCTTTGTATCTGTTCTCACTTCGCATTGAGTTATCACACTTCACTTACAGGCCATCTACAACTTAGCAGCCGAAACTTTGGGAGTTGACCCCTCAAGGTAAGCTTTATTATGATGTCTCTGATAGTAAAAGTTCCCTGTAATGAAATGCAATACTAATGTTCTGCAGGGGGACTCCATCTCTCATGTTTTTAAATCTCTTGAACTAAAAGTTTTATGAAATCAGAGAAACGTTTTAGCAATGTTACTGCACAGATTCTCAGGGTCTGGTATTGTGCAGTTGTGTCGTGGTGGAAGACAGTGCAATCGGGCTAGCAGCCGCCAAAACTGCTGGAATGAAGTGTATCGTCACCAAGAGCGGGTGAGTGTAGTTACTGTCTCCCTTTTGTTGGTCTGAAAAAGTGATGATATATATACATATATACACATATATATACACACGTTAGATGCAAGATCTCCGTTACACTAAGGAAATGGAAATTGCAATTTCAGATTCTGGGTTTAATGTTCATTTGGGGTTTGCTTGCAGATACACAGCGGACGAAGATTTTCTGAACGCAGACGCAGTCTTCGACTGCATTGGAGACCCTCCTGAGGAGAGATTTGATTTGGCATTCTGTGGAAGTCTTCTCGAGAAGCAATTCGTTAGTTAAATCTCATTGATGAAATCTCGTTGTGTGTATATTTTAACATCGGAGGACAGTTGAGGAAATGATGATCCATGTTTTCCCACTACATGACAACCTCTTTCTGTCTGTGTCGGAATATTATGGCGTTAATCGAAATTACATGTCATCTAAATAAATATAAAGTTTAGGATTTTATTCGGGTTTCTCCCTTATATATATATATGATTCACTTCGATGGACCGTTGTCCCGAATATCTCCAAGAATTTTTGTAACCCACCGGATTTTTCAAGCGCAGTGGCTGAAACCCTTCTCGAGATTTTCGTCGGGGACGAAGAAAAACTGAAAAGATCGTTCCTTTATACGGCCATTGAAGAACCTTGGAGGAAGAAGAAGGCTTGGTCGAAATTTACGGAACAATGAAGCGATTCTTCAAGCCGATAGAGAAAGAAAGCTCAACGGCGACTAAGAAACCATGTGTCTCGTCGGAGAACGACGGCGACGGAGCTGAAGAAGGGAGGAGCAGCACGAAAGAGCCGACCAAGTTTTTGACTTGGAACGCCAACAGTTTACTCCTTCGGGCGAAGAACGATTGGCCAGAGTTCTCCAGGTTCATCACCGATCTCGACCCAGATGTCATCGCCATACAGGTGAACCCTTACGCCAGAGCTTTTCTGCTTCGTTTTCTTTTTGTTGATTTCGAACAATGTGGGTGATATGATTCTGGGTTTCTCAGAGAAATCTTTAACCCTCTAGGGTTTCTTATGAGATTGGGCCTGAATTTTCTTCCGCGTAGCTTGTTGATCTTGATTTGGTGGAGTAGGGTTTACTGGTTTTTCTTTGACAATGTCTGTGACTGTTAGGAGATGGCGTCTGTTTCCTTGTCTGGGGTGTCAATGAATTAGCTGCGTTTGCTCAGATTTAGCTTAGCTAGTGCTGGTCACTGCAATCGAGAAACGAGTTCTCTGATGAGATATATATGATCATATGTGAGTTAGACTTCACCTCTGTCGAGTGAATTGCCCAAATTACATGTATAGACTTACATGCTAGTTAGTTTGGTGTATTGCTTAAGTTATGGAGAGTTAGGTAGGAACTTTCTACATTCGTTCTCTCTTGTGCATGATCTTTTGATGCCAGGAAGTGAGGATGCCTGCTGCCGGTGCAAAGGGAAAGGCTAAAAGCCCTGGAGACATGAAAGATGACACGAGCTCTTCGCGTGAGGAAAAACGGGTATGTCATATGTTAATTCCAAATGTCTCTACTTTCTTCTTGGCCAATGCTTTCCTTGTCTGGCATTACTAACTCCACCGAAAAACTGCTGAAGCTGTGTACTTTGATGTTCTCACTCATGATCTTGTGTAATATAGTTTTGAATGATGTGGAATCACCTTGACATATAGTCACCTTGCTTGCTTTATGAATGTAGGATCCATTATATGATCATGGTTGTAGGTATTTTTAGAAGCAAGAATCAGTTTTGGTGCATCCAGATGTCTGTGCTTTTGATAACTTTTTTCATTCTTGTTATTCTTTTGTTTAAGAAACTTATCTTCGTTTGTACTACTAACAGATTTTGATGCGTGCCCTCTCGAGTCCACCGTTTGAAAATTATCAAGTTTGGTGGTCTCTTGCGGAATTCAAGTATGCCGGGACTGCTTTGTTAGTGAAAAAGTGTTTTCGGCCCCAGAAAGTATACTTCAACCTTGACAAATTAGGTAGTTTTACGAAACCCGTTGCCTATTACCTTAGCTATATCAGATTGGCTTTCAATTTAACATGCTTGTTCATCATCATGCAGCATCAAAACACGAACCTGATGGCCGTGTGATTTTAGCTGAATTCAGTACGTTTCGTGTGTTAAATACGTATTCACCTAACAACGGTTGGAAAGAGGATGAGAACTCCTTTCAGAGGAGAAGAAAATGGGATAAGAAGATTCTCGAATTTGTCACGCAAACATCTGATAAACCTCTCATATGGTGTGGTGATCTAAATGTCAGGTAATAAACCAGCTCTTTATGTTCTGTCCTTTCGGAAATACTTCCCCTTTTCATTTTAAATTCCATGCTTAAAGTTTAATATTTGCTTGGTTGTTCTTTCGTTATATGCTGTATCTTTGCATATGCAGCCACGAGGAGATAGACGTTACCCATCCAGAGTTTTTTGCAGCCGCTAAACTTAATGGCTATGTCCCTCCTAACACGGAGGTAATGAATCATGAATCATCCATCACTAAACGTTTTTGAGTCGGACATAGAATGATACAGTCATATTACCAAATATGATTTGCTTTGTGCAGGACTGCGGGCAGCCTGGATTTACGCTGTCTGAGAGGAGGCGATTTGGTGCTATTTTGAAAGAGTACGCGTCTTTTCATCTACAGATCATCGAGAAAATCTTTTCCCTTATCGCATAGAAGATCCAAATTCCCATGAGGATGATACCTGAGTATATGATTACATTTTTTTGACAGAGGAAAGCTTGTGGATGCATACCGATACCTACACAAAGATAAGGACATGGAAAGTGGCTTCTCATGGTCAGGTCATCCGATCGGAAAGTAAGTCCATACCCATTTGATGTTAGACCCACCCGACGAACCAGCAGTCCATTTTCTGTCGCATTCTTCAGTTGTGGGCAGTGATCAATATATCCAAATTTCTAAAGAATCGTTTCTTGCAATAGGTATCGAGGAAAACGAATGAGGATTGATTATTTTCTAGTCTCTGAACAACTCAGAGACCAGATAGTTTCGTGTCAGATGCATGGCCGCGGGATAGAACTGGAAGGTGCTTCAGATGTTTCGGTCGATTAGTCGTCTTTTCATCATATCGATTTGGAGAATAACTTATCATCAGCCTTTTTTGTTTCAGGTTTCTACGGCAGTGATCACTGCCCTGTTTCCATGGAGCTGTCGAAGCCATCTTCAGACAGAGACCAAAACCCAGGTTTCTAACTGAACTCACTTGTCTTGACTTAAAAAGAGACCACAGACTTCAAGCTTAGGTTATGGTTGACATGTTACTGAGACTGTGATGAAGCTTCAAGCTTTGGTTTATGTTATTAAGATGGACCTCCCTCGTCAAGAGAACATTTGGGATGCAGTGCTAATGCCTAGTATGAGGAAGGAAAAAAAATTAAAATATATATATATATATATATATATATATATATATATATATATTATGGACAGTTACGATATGTTCGACACCATGCGAATACGGTTTATTACTTTTCATGAAAAATAAATTGGAAGTTTATTTATGAACTCACACATCGATAGGAGAAGCGGAATAATTTAAAATTGATTACTATTAGTGATGTAAAATGGCATGGCTTGGACCGGCTCGTCTCGAGTCAGTTCATTTTTTGCTCAGCAGTTCGACCCATTTTTTTAGGAGATAGAAAAACTTTGTTCTATACCAAATTGTCCGAGATACGAGTCGGTTCGTGAACCAATCCGTTTTATCTAATGATCCGAAAAAATTTAAAATTATATAAAAATTAATAATTTAAAATTTACATAACAATATTTTAGTCATTCAATATACCATAAAATATTTAACATAATCTATAAAACTATATCTAAATAAAAAATTTATTAAAACCAAGCAAACATAAAAAAATATCATAAACCAACAATATTAAAATATAACAAAAAATATACACCAACATCAATATATCATATTTTTTAATTTATTACATAAACGGAAGAAGTGAAAAAAATAAAGTATGAAACCATAATATTTTTTAATGTCAACTCGCGAACCGGTTTGTGAACTGACCGAATTAGTCCGGATGAGTTCGGACTCGCTGCGAATTGACTCGTTCAGTTTTTTTTTATTTGGTCTTTTATTTTTTTAGCTCATCTCGAAAGAAAAAAAAGCTAACGGCGAGGCCAGACTAACTACTACGGGTTTATGACCAATTAAAGAAGGTCACGAGGACTTCTTTGCAACGTGGCAAATTTTGATTGGTTTGTTCCTGAGTATTTGACTTGAGTCAAACTCAATCCACACCGAATGCCAAATCGTTTCAACTAAAAACATAATTGGGGCTTTTCGACTGAAGCTTTTAATTAGATATTTTAGCTTTACTTTGTCATTGACTTATTACATTTTCAATCTACGAGAAAAAAAAATGCGAAATTTGTTTCCATAAGGAAGATTCAAGGATTTTGAAGGCTCATTAATATTTTTATTTATTCATAAAAAATATTGATTTAAATTATATCCAAGAAGATATAGCATAGCTAAAACATTCTAAAAAAAAGTTTCCGTACATCCATAAACAGAATTACAGTAATGATGCATGTATGATCCGTGAACAAACAAACCATATCCGTTAAAAAATATATATAAAATTGATATCCATTTGTAAGATTGAATTGCCAATTTTAATTTAATTTAATTTTTCAGAAAATTTGTTTTCATTGCCTTATAGAGCTAATGAGATGATGAATTCACAAAACGTAAAAAGTCGTATATACCCTAACAGACACTACTATGAAACCTGCATGTAACTTTGGTCCGTTATGTCAGTTTTTTTTACCATAGGATTTGTAAATGGATTTTTGGAAGAAAAAAAAAAAACCATTTATTCCCATTTGTAGCTAATATTCCATTACTTAAACGTCTATTTTTCTCTATATAAAACGCACGCAAAATATTTGAAACGATAAGAAAATGTTGATGGAAAATAAAATATAAATTTAAATGAAACAAAAAGCCCCCCTTAATCCATGATTTATTATTAAAAGATCCAAACATGAGAATAAATCAATCTTCGGGAAAGGAGTTTTGGATGTGCAAACGGACAGCAAAAGAAGTGTGTGGACCGAACCGAATCCGTGGGGATGGCAGAACCGTAAATAGTGAAAAAAACCACTACCCTTCCTTGGAACCTCAAAACTCAGTAACACGGCCAATGGAATAAAAGGAGGGTGTTTCTTACTGCTGTTTACTTGCTTTTTCACAAACTCTGCACAGAAAAAAAAAAAAGAGTGAGAAAAAAAAAAAAACAGAAATCACATCACTTTTGCCTCTTGCTCTCTCTGTCCAACCCAACCCCAAAAAAACCCATTTTCCTCTGTTTCTTTAATCCTTTTTGTCTTAATAATAAAACCCAGTAGAAATCGCAGCTGAAATTTTAGGAAACGAGATTGAAGTGGTCTCTTTAATCGAGAAAAGAGGATGACCCTTGAGCTTGAGGAGTACATGGCGAATAATGGTGGAGAATCGAAGAATCTCTAGCCCTGGTTGCTCTTGATTTTCCCCCCCTCCCGGTCCTCTGTTTTGTGCTCTGCAATGGTGTTTTCGAAAGTACCCAGAAGCTGAAAGGGAGGAATTTTGTGTGGTTTTTGTGCGGAGATGGCAGTTTCGGAGGCTAGCCAAGACGTGTTTCCATGGCTGAAATCTCTGCCTCTGGCGCCGGAGTTTCGCCCCTCTCCGGCAGAGTTCCAAGATCCGATCGCATACATTTTCAAGATCGAGAAGGAAGCTTCCAAGTACGGAATCTGCAAAATCTTGCCTCCAGTGCCTCCGGCCTCGAAGAAGACGATGATTTCTAACCTCAACCGCTCCCTGGCAGCGCGTGCAGCCGCGGCGGCCCGAGAAGGCGGCGCGTGTGACTACGATCGGCCCACATTCACCACGCGGCAGCAGCAGATCGGGTTCTGCGCTCGGAAGCAGCGGCCGGCGCAGAGACCCGTGTGGCAGAGCGGTGAGCATTACACGTTCCAGGAGTTCGAGGCAAAAGCTAAGAACTTTGAGAAGAATTACCTGAAGAAGTGCGGGAAAAAGGGTCCTCTCTCGGCCCTAGAAATCGAAACCCTTTACTGGAGAGCCACTGTGGACAAGCCCTTCTCTGTGGAGTATGCAAATGACATGCCTGGCTCGGCTTTTATACCGCTTAGCACTGCTGCGGTGCGGCGGAGGGAATCAGGCGACGGCGGCACGGTGGGGGAGACGACTTGGAACATGAGGGCGGTGTCGAGGGCTGAAGGGTCGCTGCTCAAGTTCATGAAGGAGGAGATTCCTGGAGTGACCTCTCCAATGGTGTATATCGCCATGATGTTCAGCTGGTTTGCTTGGCATGTTGAGGACCATGACCTCCATAGCTTGAATTACTTGCATATGGGAGCTGGAAAAACCTGGTATGGTGTGCCCAAGGATGCTGCAGTGGCTTTTGAGGAGGTGGTTAGGGTTCATGGTTATGGAGGAGAGCTCAATCCTCTGGGTGAGAACTTTCTTCCCATCAGTTTTGCTTGGCTTCATGTCTTGTACAAAGCACTGTTGCATTGTTATTGTTAGGTTTTCTGTTGAATTTTATATAGGCAATTTGCTTGTGCTTAGTTGGTTTTGGCTCATGCCAGGAACTTAGTTTGATATGAAGGCCACGAAGCTATACTAGCCTTCTGGAATCTACCAATGATAAGAACTATCTATTACTCATAGAGAGTATGAGCCTTTTGTGCAGACTTGGAGTTGGTGAATGGACGCAATAATTTTTGTTGCAAGAAATGGTATAAGGGACCGAGCATTTAGAGGCATGATCGTCTCTTTTTAGCTTCCTAGTTGCTCAGGCCCTATGTACTGTTCTTGCTGAGGGCTTGGGATTCTGATATATGATTCATGATGTCCAGCTTGCTTTTTATCGTTAGAAAAGTTTCTTGTGAAGGTTAACGATTGTTAGGTGAGATTGAGAATGACCTTTCTATCAAAGATTCTGTGGGTCTTGGAGAATAGTCGCGATATCTTGTTCTGATTGTCAGCTTTCATTCTCTGTAAAAATCTGTTTAGCTTTTCCTTCTGCGGTGCATTATCCACTTTCCTTAAAGTTCTGGAAGGATTAGGAAATATAGATGCGTACTCGTGTGCATAGATACTAATGTTGGGTTCCTCTTAATTTTCCTTACACCAGTGACATTTGCTACACTTGGTGAGAAGACAACTGTGATGTCTCCAGAAGTATTTGTTAAAGCTGGGATACCATGTTGCCGGTAATAACTTGGCCCGTGATCTGTTCTTTGCATAATCTTGTTTTCTGCCCTTGTCTTAAACTTTAAACTAGAAGCTAAACTGTTAACTGCAGCCGTAGTAGTTACCCCTTTACCATGGAGGGTTTGGATGATTGTGTGGTGGCAACCATTTACTCTTTTGTGAAAAGAAGGGGTTTTCAGAAATTTTCATCTTTGTCCTTAAAAAATCTCTCCACAGTTTTGTTGGGGAAGGAGAATTATGTGCTGAGTTGTTGCTGGCACTCTCCCACAGGTGAATGATCTTTCGGTTTCTTACCAAAGTGGTTTCTTTTTTTGTATCAGGTTAGTGCAAAATCCTGGAGAGTTTGTTGTCACATTTCCAAGAGCATATCATTCGGGGTTTAGTCATGGTGAGAGAGAAACCTTCAGTTTCACCAGATTATTACAGTTGGATTTGATGAGGCTTCTCATAATATAACAAAAATGTTGGTTTAGGCTTCAACTGCGGCGAGGCATCTAACATTGCAACTCCAGAGTGGTTGACAATGGCCAAAGATGCTGCTATCCGGAGAGCTGCAATTAATTATCCTCCTATGGTTTCTCATTTCCAATTACTGTATGATTTTGCTCTTGCTTTATGTTCAAGGTACTTTCTTTCTTGATTTCCACATTTAATCATAATTTGCCGGTTTAAGGTATGGAATTATATCTCATGGACCTTTCTGGACACTTCATATCTGTCCTTGCAGAGTTCCAGCAAGCCTCACAACGAAACCACGGAGCTCTAGATTGAAGGATAAGAAAAAGAGCGAAGGAGAGAGATTGACTAAAGAGTTGTTTGTACAAAATGTGATCAAGAACAACAAATTGCTTCATTCTCTTGGAAGAGGATCTCTGGTGGTCCTCCTCCCACGGAGTTCCTCGGATATATCGGTTTGTTCTGACTTACGAGTTGGATCACAGTTGAGAACTAATCAGGAAAAAACCCTCCAAGTATTCAGGGATGATGTGAAACCTGAAGAACTAGGTTCCAGTTATGGCATGATTGGTTTCAATAATGATACGAAACTAGACAAGGGTACCGTTTCAGTTAAAGAAAAGTTTACGTCACTTTGCGAAAGGAACAGAAATTTCCCATCGTGGGGTAACAATACTCAAGGAACGCTTATAGATGCTAGACGGGAACGTGGTGATCGAGCTGAGGGTTTGTCGGATCAGAGGCTTTTTTCATGTGTTACATGTGGAATCTTGAGCTTTGATTGTGTAGCTATCGTCCAACCTAGGGAAGCAGCTGCTAGATATCTTATGTCTGCAGATTGTAGCTTCTTCAATGATTGGACAGTTGGTTCTGGATTAGCAAGTTCTGGTCAGGATACAAGTTCTCCTGTGATGAAACCCGTTGCACGTAAGTAATTAGTTATCCTTCCTCTTGTTAGCTTGGTTTTGCAATGGCTTTACAGTTGTTCTCTGTAGACATAAGCAACTGTTTCAACGTTTACTACCTTTGTTTCAACATGCAGAAGGCACTGGAAAGCGTGATGTAAATTACTTGTACGATGTTCCAGTTCAAACTGGTGATTGCCAGATGAAGACAGGCAATCAGAGAAATGGAACAGCTTCCAAGACGAATGAAGAGAAAGATAGTGGTGCTCTTGGCTTGTTGGCATCGACGTATGGAGATTCTGATTCTGAGGAAGACAATGATGATCCAGATGTTCCTCTCTCGGAAGGAGAAACAAATATTACAAACTGTTCACCACCAAAGAAGTATCTCCAAGATTGTGTTTCTCAGAAAATGGACTGCAATGAGGAAGCTGGGCTTAGACAATCTGATTTGAATTTTAGAACTGATCAAACATGTGATGGAACTGATGAGTTTAGGGCACAGAGACTTGCATGTAGAAGAAGCAATGGAGTAGAGGTTCATGCTACTTCAAGTTGTTCTACAGTTTCTTGCACCACTGAACAGAAAAGGTTAGGGTTAGGAGAGGGCACCACCTCGCTTTTGGACATGGATTTACCCTTTGTTCCGAGATCTAACGAGGACTCCTCTCGGTTGCACGTGTTCTGTCTCGAGCATGCTGCGGAAGTAGAACAGCAACTTCGACCAATTGGGGGAGTGCGTATAATGCTAATATGCCATCCAGGTAAAATAATATTTGATAATATACAGTATTCAACCAGGGTGCAAACTTGTTGATCGGGTTATCATTTCTTATGTGTTTTGTATATTACCGAAAACCATATACGCAAACACTTTGCTGCATTTGAAAAAATCTGATTTATGATGCCATTCAGCTTACGATTAGACTACAAAAGGGGAAATATTAGTCATTGAAAGGATTGTAATATCAAAAGCTTTGAAAGGGTTTTCCATCATGATTTCGAGATTGGATCATGGAGTTATACTTCTTTCTGAAGCTATTCTTCTTTCTGCGGTTCTTAACATCCTCTTATACTGGGTTTTTCTGATGATTATGGCTTTGCTTTCGGTCCATTGATCTTAAAGACATAAATATTTGCAGAGTATCCCACGATAGAGGCCGAAGCAAAGTTAGTTGCTGAAGAACTAGAAATTGATCACCAATGGAACGATGTTGAGTTCCGGAGTGTGACCCGAGAGGACGAGGGAAGAATTCAGTCAGCCCTGGATAACGAGGAAGCCAAGGCTGGGAACAGTGACTGGGCTGTAAAGCTGGGCATTAATCTCTTTTACAGTGCGGTCCTAAGTCGCTCTCCGCTGTACAGTAAGCAAATGCCCTACAACTCGGTCATATATAGCGCCTTTGGCCGCAGCTCTCCTGCCAGCTCACCATCGAAACCCGAGTTTCCTGGCAGGAGGTCTTCCAGGCAGAAGAAATTTGTTGTCGGAAAATGGTGTGGTAAAGTTTGGATGTCGCATCAGGTATGGAAATTGTACCTTTCAGATATTACAAGTTCCGGTTCTTATCAGTTTGTTTTGGTCATAACTAAAAATGTTCGAGGAAATTTCATCTCAAGTTGAGATAGATGGCTTGGATTCAGTTTTTGCACAATATGGTTGATCTATTCTCTTTCTTCTAATGATGAATTAGGTGCATCCCTTTTTAGTCCAGCAGGACTCGGAGGACGAAGAACTTGACAGAAACTTCCACTCTCGAGCTGTTATGGATGAAGGTGTTACTGAAAGGAAACCGTTTAGCATTCTCAGAAATGTAACAACAATGGTGGCAAGAAAGTATTGCAGGAAAAGAAAGATGAGAGCAAAGCCCATGTCACGCAAAAAGCTTACATCCTTTAGGACAGAATGTGGAGTTTCAGACGATACATCAGAGGATCATCCTTATAAACAGCAATGGAGGGCTTCTGGGAATGAGGAAGATTCTTATTTCGAGACAGGAAACACAGTTTCGGGTGATCTGTCAGATCAGATGTCTGATCAGCGGCTCGGGAGGAGGGGTACTAAATTTCAGGATGAAGAGGATGAGAGGTCTGATGACATGTCAGAGGATAAATATCCTAACCTTAAGCGCAAGGGAATTCTCCGACATAAAGGAGTTCACGAATTTGAGTCAGAGGACGAAGTTTCAGACCGTTCCCTAGCGGAAGAATATACAGCAAGGGACTTTGCACCTTCAGACAACTCAATGGAGAATGGGTTTCAACCAAATAAGCAGTCGAGGCTTCTTGAGATGGACAGAGAAGCTTCTGATGATGATTCAGCAGATGATGATGATGATAATATATACAGGCAGCAGAGGGAGATTCCTAGGAGCAAACGGACTAGAATATTTAAGAACGTGTTTTCTTATGATTCTGAAGAGAATGGTTCTTATCGGCATAGGAGCAGAATGCCCAGAAGAACAAGGAAAGCCAGTCGAATTGGTCGTAAAGAAGAGTTTTCCTACGAATCAGCAGAAGACAATACAGATGATGAGAACCGCAGGGTTATGAAACACAGGAAAGTGAAAAACATCGAGGAAAAGGAAGATGAGAGATGCAGTGATTCTGTGGAGGAACAAGACTTCTGCAGTAGAAGAAAGAGGACTGCAACACGAAAAGCAAAGCCTGAGATACTTCAGAGTCTGAAAGGAACAAAAGGGCAACCGGCCTCTAGAAAGAAGAAGAAGAAACAAGAGGGAATTCGTGTTTTGAACGTCAAGCAAGAGAAAGACAATGTACCGTTGGATTCATATACAGAGGGCCCTAGCACTCGGCTTAGGGTTAGAAACCAGAAACCCTCAAGAGTATCAGAGACAAAATCCAAGAAACCCGGCAAGAAAGAAAGGAATGCCTCCTCCTTCTCGAGAGTAGCAAATGAAGAAGATGATGATGATGCAGAAGAAGAAGAAGAAGATGATGAGGAAGAAGGAAGCTCGGTATACCGATGCAACATGGAGGGTTGCACGATGAGTTTCAGCACGAAGCAACAACTGGCGCTGCACAAAAGGAACATATGCCCGGTCAAAGGCTGTGGAAAGAAGTTCTTCTCGCACAAGTATTTGGTTCAGCACAAGCGTGTTCATCTGGATGACCGTCCTCTGAAATGTCCATGGAAGGGCTGCAAGATGACGTTCAAATGGGCATGGGCTCGGACCGAGCACATTAGGGTTCACACGGGCGAGAGGCCTTACGTTTGCGCTGAACCAGGATGTGGCCAGACATTCAGGTTCGTCTCAGACTTCAGCAGACACAAACGGAAGACGGGTCACTCGGTTAAGAAAACGAAAAGGTGATTTAGTTTTAACACCGATGAAATCCGGTGAGAGAGATTAATCCATTGATCGATTAGGGGGAGATTGGATTTAAGGGGTTAGAGGGGGTTTAATTAGAGACTTTGGATCATGGGGATGTCATTGATTCGGATCTTTAACTGTGTATGTCTCTCGGGTTCTCTTCTTTGGAGGCACATTCTGTTCAAAAGAGAGCCATTGTTGTTGTTGAACATTTCAAGATGGATTCTCCTTTGTCTTGTCTTGATCTCTGTTATGTTTCATTGTCTTGTTTTAGTTGGCAGTTGGAAGTGTAAACAAATTTGGAGCAGGAAAATTTTAGCTTTTTGCTTCTCCCCTGTTCTTTTGCTATTACCATCATCTTAGCATGTGTACATGATTTGCTCCACCTTTTGCAGCTCTGTGTTAGATTTGGAGTTCACTTTCCTGAAACTGAGTTTGAACAGTCCTAAAAGTGTTTCCATGTTCAGCTGGTTCTGTTTTTTACAGTCTCTTGGACTGTAGTATCAGCCAGTTGTTAAGCTGTTCTGAAGAAAGTGAGAAGCCAGGGGAAGTGATGTGTGGATATATATGCATATTATACAACACCATGGCTACAAAACGGCAATGGCGATATCCAGTTCCAGATCAAGTTTCTTATTAAGAACCGCAAGAAGAAGGCACGCTCCTCTGTCCGTATTGGGCGAAAAGAAAGAGAGGAAAAAGCTCAACAAGTAGCAGAGGAAGAGAAGCTATACGACAACAACATACGATGAACAGATTCGCTGGCTGTTCTGTTTCCTTCTCGTCGGCTCTGGGAAGTATCAGAGAGTTAAAGGAAGCATAGCCATTTCTTCTGCACAAAAACAAAACGAAACAGATGGTGAGTACCCTTTTATCAGCTCTTTTTCCTTGTGGGAGAGGAGAAAGGAAGAACCTTGGATCTGGAGCTGTGGGAATCATGGTGATGGGCAGGCAGAGGGTCTTCATCTCTGTGAGGTGAAACCAGATCAGGACCTGCAATGGAGGTTTTCTTGGTCTTCTTCTCGTCACGTGCCTTGTTGAAGATGACTGTGAAGCCCTCCGCCGAGGCCGGGTTGCTCACGTCCCATTCCCCAAACTTGGGCAATGGCCTTCCTCTGTCCTCCTGCTACACAAAACACAATCACCCCACATTAAACCCCTCTGACTCAAAAACTCCATCCTGTAATTCTGATCGAAGGAAGGGGGAGAACTGGGGGGTTACTCTTACCGTCGCCATGGATGGGAAAAAGGCAAGAGCTTTTCCACTGCAGATAACGACACAAAAAAGTCTGAAGACAGAGAGAGAGAGAGAGAGAGAGAGAGAGAGAGAGAGAGAGAGAGGGATTAACGGAGGAGAAGAAGAAGGGAATATATAAAGGAAGAGAAAGAAGAGGCAAACACGTCGTCGTTGACAACAGAAGCCTTGTTCCTGCGTACTTCCCTCGAGGAAAAGTCCAGCATCTGCATTTCCTCCTCCCTTCTTCTCGACCGCGCGTCTTTCGTATATATATATATTATATTATACAGATTGGAAATATATTTTCACTTTGTTGTGAATAATACGTCGTTTTGTACGCATATGAATTATAAAAAAAAATGACAAATGTTGTATTCTTTTTTAAATAAAAAAATACGACATTATATTAACCCATGTAAGTAGAGAATTGGCAAAAGCTGTTTCGACCGTAAAGTACCATTTTTTTTTGGAGACAATTTCAAAGCGTTCAAATTTGTCCGACGGGGAAACAGCGACCCAAGTCAAATACAAGCAGCTTTGATTCTCTGAATATATATATATATATATATATATGCCCCCAAAAGCTAACCATGCATTATACACTTTTTCCCTTTAATATTTTTCTTCTTCTTCCAAAGACACGTGCATGCATGCATCTCTTTGTATAATCCATATAACTTAGGGATGTGTTACCACTTAGCAGCAACAACATAACGTTTTCTATGATTGTAATCCATGCGATCCCCGTCGTCGGTCCAAATCGATAGTGCATGTCTATAAATAGATGGTTCCCGTCGACGTTTGTTCACAATTTTGAGCCAATAGATTAGAATAATGCGCAATTATAGTAACGCAAAACTCAGCGTCGTGATAATTAATTCCTACCAAACCAAGGGCATGCAAAACGTCTAACTAGGCATCGAGTAATGTGTTATATGTTGAATATGAAAGTAATGTATTTTTGAAGCTGTTGGATGTATTTGTTTTGAATTCTTTGTTTTTTTAATGGATTGATTTCCCGTGTCCACAAATATCGAAATCATATAATAATAAAAAAAATACCCCATACATTCTAATTGGATGCATCGTGTCACCGTGAATAAAAACCTTACAACGAGATGTAAGTGATAAACCTCCGGTCCATTTGACTTACACTATGAGATTTGTAGAGAAATGCTAATGGCCTGCATGTTTTCTTAAGGGTTATTTTTTTCTTCTTATATTATAAAACCTTCTATTTTTATTTTGGTTCTGGTTTTGGTTTTTATTCAATCTAAAAATTGATGGGTAGACGTAGACCTATATGATTTTGTATATAACGATTTTGATCACAGCAACGGAAAAAAATATAAGAAGGTATAGCTAAATAATGGAATCTACCATAAAGTTGTCACCAATCACTAAAAGGGCTTCACTAAATACTTGTAACATAAAAGGAATGAATTGAGGCCATAATACTATATGTATGTATGTATGTATATATATATATATATATTGAGTGGACGCGGTGTATTTCTGCGCTTGACAACCAACACAATGTGCTATATTAAATAACGCAGACAAATTTTACGTGGGCACGCATTTAATGCGTACAACTTATATAGGTCATGGCCTATGGTCAATTAGTGAGATGGATGAAACCCATACATATAACATGTGGATATTTTAAAAATATTGGGCAATCAATATACACATTATATTCTTGAACCCTAACGCATAAAAGAAACATTTTTTTTTATCATTATGATTGTATGTAATGTATCCTATAGAGAAACCAATGCACAATTAGCATGGTACAAGGAGCGTTAAAATTTGAAATTAAATTAGTGAGCCAATCTCGTATCTTCGAAAATGGAGCCAAAACAAAAAAAAAAAACTGCGAATGGGGCCCTGTTTTAAATGCAATTTACACTCCACACTTAACATTTTTCTCGAGCATAAAATAAAATTATATAATTTCCATTTAATTTTTCAACGGGTGCGGCCCCTTAATTACTTAAAACTATATCAATATGAGCAAGACAGAAATTGTTATTGAATTCACAAAAAGAAGAAAAAAAATACAGCATAAAAGAGGCGGGCGAATTATATGTGATATTGGTTTGATGAAAATTCGGATACATGTAATTTATGAAGGAAATAAAACAGTATTTATACTACGCATGTGTATAATTATCTGGATCTATGCGAATAATAAGTATTATATTTGAAAAAAAAAACCGAATATTTGGTCTGTATAATATGTGCGTGTGCATACATACGTGCGTACGTACATACAATGTTTGTCTACGTGTATGTGTGTATATATATATATATATGGGATGGACAATGTGAGATGTGCCACGGTGCATGAAATTAGGGAGGTAGTTGACAGATTTTATGGCACAACTAATATCCTGCCGACCCTATTAATCACCTTATCTGCCTTTCCCACTTTTACCCCCTTCTCTTAATTATCCCTTTTTTCCTCGTATTTAATTATTTATTTTATTTATATATATATACCAATGTCTAAAACTTATATATATATATATATATGGTAAATCTAAGATTTTGGAGTGATTGGATATAGAACCCTAAGATATAAACTCTTTGTAGAATTTGGCCCCCGTACATCTCAAGGCATTGAACTAATTCTTGTTGACACACGGATTATACTTAATTGTATTTAATTATAAATAGTGATTTCACGTCAAAGATATGAGCCTGAAAATAGCTGAAATTGTGGGGGTTTATTTTTTATTTTTTTATTCTTATGTTAAAAAGAGATTCATGGCACATGTGTGACAAATTTTTTGTTAAATAAAATAAATAAATGATACAAAAAGATGTGAAAGAGATTAGGATTTCTACTTATATGCACGCTGCCCAAATTTCAGTCTTCTCAAGGGATCGTGGTCGATGCCTCGTTATAGTTATTAGCTAAATCAAAGACATTTTTCTACAAGTGGACTATCATTTATCAACGACCGGTAATTTTGGTTAGACGACAAATCCTTTATTAATATACTAGTGTTTCCATCTATGTATATATATACACCACGTGTAAGATATATAGTATATATAGACATATAAATAATATATAAGACAATATTTATCTATTTATTTTGCAAGAACCATAAAAATACTTAGTACTAGTAATTTATAAAAGTTTTTTTTGTGCGAAAAACAAATTATGATATCGTCCTCCAAGAATCTTAATATTAAAATTTGCTTGCATGATTTAAATTAATTAATTAATTAATTGCGCCCATTTTTTAAATTTTTAAATTTTTTAATTTTTCATCGGCTATACATATACACACAGTTCCACATAGACTCTTCACCTGCAAGCTAATTCAAATCACAAGCTCCTCAACAATGGCGTCTTATTCTTCTTCATCTTCCGTCGCCTTCTCCATAATCATCCTCCTCATCTCCGCCGCCTCGGCCGCCGACAATCACCGTCCCTTTAACAGAATCTACGCCTTCGGCGACTCATTCACCGACACTGGAAACTCACGCGCCGGAGAAGGTCCAGCCGGATTCGGACACCTGTCGAGCTATCCGTACGGAATGACCTTCTTCGGACATCCTACGAACCGTTACTCCGACGGCCGTCTCGTCATCGACTTCGTCGCTCACTCCCTGAACTTACCGTTCCTTCCGCCGTACCTCAGCCTCAGATCCACCGACGGTAACGGAACCGCTACGGATGCTAACGGCGTTAACTTCGCCGTATCCGGTGCGACGGCGATAAAACACGCGTTCTTCGTGAAGAACAATCTGAGCCTGGACATGACTCCCGAGTCGATCGAGACGCAGCTCGGTTGGTTCGAGAGCTACTTGGAGACACTCGGCGTGGATCAGAGGGTTTCGGTGCTCGAGGATTCGTTGTTTTGGATCGGAGAAATTGGCGTGAATGATTATGCCTACACCGTCGGATCTTCCATGTCTGAGGACACCATTAGAACACTTGGAATTGCTTCCTTCACGAATTTTTTGGAGGTACGTTTTTTTTTTTGTTCTTGGGAAACATCTTGTTACGTCTCATCTTTCCTTTTACTTTCCCTGATTCTCATGCCGAGGTTGACCCTCGGTATAATTATCCGGTTCGGTTTGGTTAAGCATGGTTATAATGTAATTATATTACAGGCTTTGCTGAAGAAAGGTGTGAAGTATATGTTGGTACAAGGCCATCCCGCCACGGGATGCTTAACGTTGACCTTGTCACTGGCCGCGGAAGACGATCGGGACAGCCTAGGCTGTGTTAGAAGCGTCAATAACCAAAGTTACACCCACAATCTGGTTCTCCAATCCAAATTACGACAACTCAGGTCGGTTTTCCCCCGGTTTACTCCCCCCGGTCGAATCACGTGCTCTGCTTCGTCTCATCCGGCTACTCTTCCTTCCGCTCTTCTCTTCGATTGCGACGGCGTGCTTGTCGATACCGAGAAGGACGGTCACAGGATATCCTTCAACGACACTTTCACTGAGGTTTTTCTTTCTTCTCAATTTTTTCCTCTCCGGGTTGATGTTACATTAAGATTTTGGTGCATTGATGATTGGAACAGAAATCTGAGGTTTGGTTGATGTGGAATTTTGCAGAGAGGTTTGGGTGTTACGTGGGATGTCGAATTGTACGGCGAGTTGCTGAAAATCGGCGGTGGGAAAGAAAGGTAGTTGTTGTTTGATAAGTTCACCATTTGAGCATTCATCTTGCTTCATTTGCGCTCACAACTCACAATTTGAGTAGAAAAGGACCGGAAATTCTCAGTTGTAACTAGGTTTGAGCACTGGTTTTGTTGAAGTGGTGATGTCTTTGGCTTTCTGTAAGGATGACGGCGTATTTTAACAAGGTGGGTTGGCCAGAGAAAGCTCCAAAGGACGAAGCGGAGAGGAAGGAATTCATAGCTGGTCTTCACAAGCAAAAGACCTACAATTCCCGGAAGCCACGATAGTGTACGCAGATTACTGGAACGCGTACAGAGCGGTGGTACGGAACCCGGAGAAGTACGGGATCAGGGAGAGATTCAAGGCGTGCTGCGGGACGGGCGAGCCGTACAACTTCGAGGTGTTCATGACGTGCGGTTCACCGTTCGCCACAGCCTGCGAGGACCCCGACCGCTACATCAACTGGGACGGAGTTCACTTGACCGAGGCCATGTACGAGGTCTTGGCCGATATGTTCGTCAACGGCACCTTCACTCGCCCTCCCTTCGGTTACTTGCTCAAGAAGAAGCTCAACCTTTGATCCAATCAACCTATGCTTACATATAATTTGATTTCTCATTATAATGATTTTGGAATCTCGGGTTGTTGTTATGGTTTCGAGCGGAGATAGCATGAGACAGTAAGAGGATAGAGTTTCTTGAGGTTTTATTGGGAGAATTAAATAATATTTGATAGGTTTCTATGAAAGAGGAAAGGTAAAATAGTTTTTTCTAATGGTTTTTAAACCCATTGGATGTAATAATACAAAATTAAAGTCGATTTTGTGGTGAATTACTGAATGCGGATTCGAAGGTTAATGCTTTTAATAAGGTTATTAAAAAATAAGTATTTCTGAAATTTTATTTTTTCAAGATAGATGTTGATACGCCTTTCTAAATGCAAATTATATAGATGGTGTTAACATTGGGGTTTTTTTAGTCTGTATACATAGTTAGGGGTTCTGTATAAGAGTCATCAAACATTTGGGGTTTTAATGTAATTTTCAAAACATGAAAATCATATCAAATAAATGGGCCTCTATCAGACTAGTTTTGCAAGGCAGAATAAGCCCAAACCGTGAGGGGGAATGTGCTTGTTTGGCTGAGGTGAAATCCCCGTCCCACGGTGGAATTACACATTAAAGAGAAAAAAAGGAGAACATGCTAATTTGATCCGGCGATTTTCCCTGTAAAATCGATAATTTTCCCGAGAAAAATCCCCGACATAGCCGTCTGATCGTCGGCAAAGCAAGGATAAATTAGAAACATGGGAAGTCTGAAGGGGGCATTTTCGGCGATTTTTCTGCTGTTATCCCTTCTTCTTCATCAATCACTCTCCGAGGTTTTTGTTCACGTTCTCCTGTCTCGCCCAAATTCCTGATTCAAGGGTCCTTTTTTTTGTGGGTGGTTAATTCATATTCTATGATCTAATCATGTAATTCTGGGCTGTTTCCCTTTTCTCTCTAGGAGTTCGGAAGATCTGCATCTACTAGGTAACTCTCCTGCTAGTCTGCTGGAATTTCTCGTACAAGTGTAGTTCAAGTGTTTTGCAATTCCTCTTAGTTTTGACGATGAGAACAAATATGTTCAGCTGAAGATATGGTGATTTCATAGTGTGTGTGTGTTTTATTTAGATGAATTTAGTTGCTTGCAAGGTTGTTCTGCTGAAGTAGCGTATGATTGAATACTGTCAAAGTTGTTTTTGCTTATATAAATTGCTTCTCCATGGACATTAGATCAGTCAAGCAAGACCAGGATCATGTCCACGAAGTACATTGTTCACGGGAAAGAAGTCGAACAGCTTGGCAGATCGTAGAAGATGTAAGTAGTTAAAAGTAATGCTATTTATCAGGTGTCAGAGGGATTTTTGTTTGGATTTTGGTTGATTTAGGAAGCGGGTTTTGATGTTTCTGGTTTTATTTTCTGCAGTATCTGATGCCATTTGTGGAACGAGAGAGATATCAACTTCCAAGATCTTGTAGGCTCCATCCGGATAACGATTTGTACAGAGATCAGGAACAGCATAAGGTTCATGTGGATGTAAATGAATGGAAATGTGGTTACTGCAAAAAGAGCTTCCGTGCTGAGAATTATCTTGACCAACACTTCGACAACAGGCATTACAATCTTCTGAATACAGTAAGTACTGTCAACTGATATTTTCTCTGTTTTCATTACAAGTTTAGGATTCTCTTCTTTTGGTGTATCTTGTTAAGTGGATTTTCCTACAATGGTATTTGAAAGCCGTGAACCATCATATTCTGCCGTCTCAGTGTTTGTTGCTAGATTCGATATTCTTTTCTCCTGTATATTGACCTGGTACGTATTGGGGAACTGGGTTTTGGGTAAATGTAATCGAGTGAAAGAATAATCTATTCTTGGAGATGTTATACGTGGATCATTATAACATGTCCTATAGTAGATCGTAAAACAAGTCTGTTCAAAGTGCTTGCAAAACCATTATAACATTTTTCCTATTCGTATTTTTCTTTTTCAAGTTAAAATGATTTGATTTCAGTCCTGTATGTTATATAAAGTTACTTTCTGCATTCGGTCGACTGTTTTTTCCCAACCAGATTGTGCTAATATCAGTACTTACTTGAATGCATTCAGACACAATCAAAGTGCTTAGCTGATATATGTGGTGCATTGCATTGCGATTTCGTACTGAGCTCCAAGAAATCGAAGAGCAAGTGCAACCCTGCAGCTGTTGCAAAAAACCGGCACCTCTGTGAGGTTGCTTTCCGGCTTCTCTTTCAATTTTTTGTTCATTGTTCTTTTTCATTTATTTCGTGATTTATCATTCTGTTTCCTGTAGAGCCTTGCCAATAGCTGTTTCCCAGTGAATCAGGGTCCCTCATCTAGCCGTCTTCATGGTATATGCTTCTTCGCTCAGCATGAATTTAGGCTTTTGATTTTACCTTTGCTTGTTGAAACTAGAAGATTCTCAACAGAGTTTCCTGAAATGTGCTCTCTTTTTCCTCTCCGGCTTTGATATTATATGGCTGAAGAACACTTTCTGCGCCAATTTTGTGATGCCCATACCTGCACCGGAAGAAATAAACCGTTCCCTAGAGGCGGCAAGGTAAGATACTTAACAGTTGCTGTCACTTGTTCATGCCAAAAGAGGTTTTATTGAGTTCATGCCAGTTGGCTATGCCTTGTAAACCTGTCCAAATCCCTGCTTGGGTTGTCGTGCGTCTTTTAGATTGATATATCTACTTTCTTTGTGTAAGCAGATGCAGTGTTAGAAACCAGATTAGGACGAATTTATGTTCATTTTGCTTTTGTGTATATCGAACTTCAAATTCTTGCAGAAGCAATCAGGGGTCTTCTACCTGGCCATTTCGATATTGACCATTATGCTACTGCCCGTGTTTTATCTTCTGGTCTTTTTGCACCAAAGGTCTGTATGATGTAAAACCGATATCTTTTCTTTCCCTCATTGGATTGTCATTATTATAGAGGTTTTTTTTATATCGTTTTTCCTACGGTTCTCTGCAGAGAAATGAGGAGCGGAACTCAAGAGCTACGTCGGATTAAGAAACTTGGACAAAAAACAAAGCCCTCGTGAGACGGTAACCATCTCAAGTGGTTTTACGAATTGAACTGGTAGTTTTTCAAGATTTAGAAGTGGTTGAATCTTGTATAAAGAACTTAGAACAACTTCTTTGGTTGTGCTATGCAATGCAGGCAGTGGCAATAGAATTTCGGCAGTGGGCTCACTGTGGACACATGGAGATAACAGTCATGTAATGTACCGGATTGTTGTAAAGTTCTACGCAGGTAGAGGGGCTGAGGAAAGGATTGGTACTCAACATGAACTCCCCAGCTGTTTTATGAGAAGAAAGGATGTAAAATACCAACCTTTTTCCAGTGGGATGGATCACAAACTGTTAAGATTACTTCTACTCCTTAGACATTTCATCATTTGGTGTTCATTCTGAATCGGATCCTTGTAAAATTCTCAAGAGTTACTGTCACTAGAAGGAGCTATAAAGGGCATGCTTTGTATTTTACTATTTTATCTATTATGCTTTTTTAAAATTTCTCATAAAGAATTAACCTTTTTTCTCGATGTTCTTAGTATTTGCTCATGCCCATCATGCATGGACATATATATGCACACATACACATGCCTTTCAAGTTGTATAGAACTATAGATGCGGCTATCGTTTAGGTTACAGGTTACTTCGAACGCATCCGACAACGAAATCGCTGTCGGAACTCCCCCTTTGCTGTCCGACCGCCTCCGCCGCCGTGAGGGCGAGTGGCGTTTCCGGCGATGGCATTCCTCCCTCACAGCCACAAGCCGACGCCACCCGTGGCCAGACAATGGGCCGGATCTTTTATGGGCCGGGCTTGAGGATATAATGGGCGGGATCTTGAGTGGTCTAAACCCGACCCGGAAATGGTCTGAGGAGGATTGCTCTTCACGATTCCCGCTCTTTCGTCCCACTTCGCGGCGCCGAAAAAAAGGAAAATAATTTCACCTTCGGTGTCCTAAATCTCCGATGGAAGACAAAATCCATCTCTGAAACATCTCATCGATCGATAGATATGTTCGGGAGGTTCAGACCACCGCCGTCGTCGCCGGACTGCCTGGAGAGATCTCCGGCGAAGATCATCAAAGACGATCCTCTCTCCGTCTACGGTACCTCTCACTCCCTCTCGCGGAATTTTGAGTTCTCGATCCGATGGACGAAATCCCCTAAACTCGAAAACTCTGCACCCGATTTGTAGTTCGATTTATTGGAATTTGTCGAATTTAGGTTTTGTATATGTATCTTCCTTCAAATTATTGAAGCGAAAGTCTAAAAAAGCTGAAGGTCGATTATATGTGCAGATCTGATTTTCTAGATCCACAAAGCTTCCGTCGGTTTTTGTGAAAATTTTCTGCCCATACTCCTTGTAGACTGAATATTGGATTCGAACTTATTCGTTGTATAGAAGAGATTCTGGGTTCTAGAAAAAAGATGAACTGGGTTTGAGCTTGTCTGCATTGATGGTGAAGTAGAGATTGAGCATAGCTATGAATGATCCAATTCAGTTCGATTCACTTGTTTTAAAGGGCATGAGTTCGAACATTTGTTCACTTCAACTTGTTTTTTTCACAAACACGAGCTGTATTTCCACGGACATTTAGGGAAATCACCAGGAAAATTGCAGTTAAAGTCATGTGAAACAGTTCAGAAACATGTGGAGACACAACTGAATTGTGTGCGTCGTGTGTTGTAGAGTCGACACTGTTGAAGCTTAAACAAGGCTCAAGACTCAACATTGGCCCTTGCCCGGAAACTTCATATGAGACAGAGGCTGAAAATGCGCCATCCCCTGATTCTGCTGAACGGGCTGACCCCTCAACCTCCTCGGACACACGGCATAGTCATGTAACCCTACTCCATGTTCACGAAACAATGGTTATAGATTCGGGTTCAGATGGGCAGGAATCTGGGGAAAGCTCGAAACAGCCAAAGAACAAGAACCCATCAGTGCTTGGCATGTTTTGCAGGTACAATGATCTGATTCGTGCGCGAAGCATGTCCCGGGAGGAGGATACAATGACCGAGAATGCATTGTGTTCGAGGGTTTCTGCCGATGTCTGAGCAGACCAGAACAAAGAGATGTATGTATGTATCCTTAAATCAGCCAAAAGTAGATGTGCAGAACTGCCTAAGGCCATGCTTGATTTCGAATATGCCAGGTTATTGTGTAATTTATGTGGCTCTGTTTTTCTTTCATTCGATTCATCACACCATTGCATCGGATTTGACATTTTTGATTGGGGAGATGATCAAAGAGTGGAATCAAGCAACATAGGAGAGTTTTGATAATTGAAATCAGACAAAAGATTGCATAAACAGCTTTGTGTCCAATTGGACGATAAAGTAGTTTCCTCTCAGGGTTCATTCCCTAAGCCATGAAGCTTGAGCTTGTTCCCACTCGCACAGTTCACCTTGTTTGAACCACAGAGCTGCATGTCAAAAACCAAATTCAAAAAATTGTCAGCAAATGCCAAATTGATTGTTAAATTTAGAATCATTTTATCAATGCTCAATATCATTGGAACTGAAAAGATAGTGGGAACAGACATATTTGGTCAAAGACTTGGTCAACGACGCAAGGAACAAGATTGAGTTTTTCATGATGATAAATTGAAACCCAGTAATCTTTTCTGAATTTTGAAAACCAAACACGATCTGAATGATCCAGCACATTCCAAACTGATCATATTCACCAAAAACCTTTAACCCCAAATCTCACCGATTTCTCGCTTGGCGTCTTGAGGGCTATCACTACCATGGACAATGTTCCTGCAAAGAGAATGCGACCTCGAACCGTCCACGGCATCACAGTCCATTTCCAACCCTTGAGTTTGAGCAGCAAGATCTCCTCTAATGGTGCCTGGTTCAGCTTGAAGATGACTGGTTCTACCTTTCAGCTTACACCCTGAAGCAACAACACCAACGCCTTCCCAGGCCTTTTTTTGCAAATATAGACATCACCGGCAACAAGAGTTACCTTCCAGCAAATTTCAAATGCATGAAAATGTCAAAAAGAAGAAGAAAAAGATTTTACCATACACACAACAGGGCCTGAAGTGATAAACTGAATCAGTTTAGGGAAGTATGGCTTGGCCTTTAGATCTCTATAATGCTCCTGGCAATTGAAAAAGGGTAGGACTTTATATATTTCAAACCAAACCCATGTACTTACTCAAGATCATGTAATGAAGCAAGCTAATGCTGGTCAGCATGTAAGTGGACATGATCCTAATTAGACATGGATGAAACCTTAGACACTTCCGGACCTCGGCCAATTCTCTCGGACACTGTATCAGCTTCAGACCAGTGATCTTGAACCCTTTCCTCTCGAACCTCGAGATGACTTCTCCAACCTAAGACACCGAAAGAAACGTGTGTATATCAATTAAATGCATTGTTCCATATATAGAGCTCTCCCCCTCCTCATCAAACGGAGTATACTGATTAAAAAGAAACAAGAAGGGAGAAACTGAGACATGGGAACTTACAAGGCCTCGTTGTACGCCATCGGGTTTCACCATAATGTAAGTCTGCTCCTGATGAATCCAAAACAAAACTTCAAGGTAACGATCAAAAGCTCGAGAAATGGCAGAAAAGGTTGCGGGAAATAATGCAGAATCTTGAGACGATTTCATCAGAAAAGTGTATGAGAGAGGATATAACCATTGAAGCGACGAAAGTGGGGAAGAAAGCCAACGGCGGGAGGAAGAGCAAGTGACGGCGTAATCGCTTGTCCATGGCAAGCAAGGGGGAGTGGAATATTGACGTGCAGGATCACCCCCAAGGGTAAAACCGTCTTTTCCACTCGTTCGGATCATAAAAAACAAAATGAAGAAAACGCGCGTGGTTGATATTTGATAATGTGCTCTGAACCAACGACTACTTTAATATAAAAAAATAATTTTAAAAATATTTCAAAAAAATATATTTATATTGCCAGATTCAAAATATATGAATATTTAAATTTTCCGGATCGGAACGGATCAGATAGAATCGAATCTTTAGAATAATTTACTCAACTCTAACTGTGACTAAAAAATTATCATTAATAATTATTCATAATTATATTGAAATAATGTATTAGAATATCGCACGTTTAGATAATGGTTATTTTAGTTACTTAAAATAAAGTATATGATTTCGCAAGACGACGAGGTCGTCGTACAAAGGCTTTACAAATTATAAAGAAAAGTAATTTTACATTTTTTTTCATGACCTAAAAAGTGAAATTAAAACCACAATTAGTGTTAACCATTTCGGTTATTAATCGAATAACCGAACCGAACCGAACCGAATCGAATAAGACATAATCGTACTCGAATCGAGTCCGACATCAAAACCGAACGGTTATGATTTTTTTAAACCCGAAAAAATTGAAACCGAACCGAACCGAATCGAATAAAAAAATAACCGAAAAAACCGACGATTTCTTTGAAAAAAATGTGTTTTTTAGCAAAACCGAACCGAACCGAACTGAACCGGAATTTATGTAAAAACTGAATGGTTATAGTTTTTCTATAACCGAAATAACCGAACCCGAATATAACCGAACTAAACCCAAATTTAATCGAACCGAACCCGAACTGAAACCCGAAATGGCCACCCTTAACCACAAGGATTCGAAATTCTAAATATTCGTTAGATCAGTGCATGAGCTTTCTCAATGATCTGCCTACGCCATTGATCAAATCTCAGCCATCCATTTTCTCCAGCAAGATCTCGTAACGGTTGAGATTAGCGGAGAGAGTCCATCTATAAGTGTGTAGATTCGGACTCGTGGTAAAACATGCACTTAACCGCTATTATGGGCTTTTTTCCCCATAACCCAATAGCCCATTACAAAACATTGACCCATTTATAGAAGCCTGCATGAAATTTCGAGGTCCAATAGTCATTACGTAGCCCGTTATTGATATAACTTTCTTGATGGAGATTAATGTATGATTGTTTTTATTTTGTATAATGCATGTTTATTTGCTGTTTGTGCGTGTTGTATGTGAGAATAAACTATATAAGCGGCCGATTAGAATCTATTTTTTTATACAATTATAGAATCAAATCTTAGTTGTGATTACTAGCTCTACTGGTTAACACGTTATCAACTTTTGATAAAAACATCAAAAGTCATTGAAATGAAAAATATTTGTAGAGAAACTTAAGAACAAAAGTTACAGAATGGAGAGGAAAGAGAAGAAACGTTTTCTGTTGTTCATTGATCCAAAAATACCTAATGTTCTTTAAATACAATAGAAGAAACACACTAATAAACCCTACCAAACTAAACCAAAATAAACCAAACCAAACCAAACCATTCTAATACACGTTTTGCACTAATTTCTTTTTTTTTTCAATTTCGAGATTCTATGATTGTGATATATATATGATTTCTATAATATTATGGTTTTCTCGCTATAACAAATTCTTTTTTTTAGTAATTGGTAACCCAAGAGAAGAAAATGAAACAAACATGCCCATATATGAATGTAACAGTTACAACTTACAAGGAATAGCAAATATTGTAATCGGTATTTTTTTCAAAACAGAAAATAATAACTAATTCTAAAAAAAATAATTACGACAGAGAGGGCCGACGGACCAGGCGTTGGTGCGGGAGGTGGAATGTACCAGCTTTGAATGCGAACCACTGGACACACCTATGTCCCACGTCACATGCAATGCAACCGCCCAATTCATCTCTCTTTTTTTTTTTTTTTCAACCACAACATATATGATATACATACATATGTATATATAACGTGTGGGGCCAATTGCAAAAATACCCTTAAATGATACATGAGACTTCAAATGATACCCTTCATAAAAAAAAAAGAGACAACATCAAATATAACCTTATAAATGTAGTTTCTCTATAATACCCTTTATTAATTTATATAATATAATAAAATAAAAATAATTTCTTTTATATTTCTCTCTCCTCTCTCCACCTCTCTCTCTCTCTCTTCCGCTCTCTCTCTCCTTTCTTCCGTTTTTTCGCGTCTGTATTACGCTCTCTCTCTCTCTTCGAGCTCCTCCTCTACAGTGTGAATTCTCACCAAATTTGTTGAGAGAAACAAGCGAAATCTCCAATAATCTCATCCAATAAGCATAGATCTCATGTATAGGTAAGTTTTCTTCTTTAAATTCCGTTATATACTTTTGGCATTTAGGGTTTTTTTTTATGAAAAGGTTTTATTGTTTTCATGTTTATATTCGACCCATATGGTATAAATGAGTAAAATGGGACATATATATCAATAGCATATCGTATTTTGTAGACTTAATTGAGTTGAATCAATATTATCATGATTCACATTAGTCAAATTGGTCACATTAATTAAACTATGTCAAACTGGTCAAACTCTTCGAAATAATCAGAATCGACAAACTTGTCTAACCGGTCATATTGACGAAACTGGTCATACTCGGCAAACTGATCATACTCGTCAAACTGATCATCATATATCTCACATTTTGTGTTTATTTTATACAGTCATAATGGATGCAAGTGATGAAAGAATGACGATTATTTATTACAAGTCTGGTGGCAAGTGGACATTGAATTCGAGTGGGGAATATGAAAGGGATGGAAAAGTTAAAGATGCCAAAGGAGTGATATTCCTTTTTCCTCCGACTGATTTGACATACAAACTTCTTGTTGAAGAGTTATATTCTGAGCTGGACATAGATAAAGATAAAACAACTATCAAGCTAAGTCATGCAATTGCATCAGCACATATGATCGGAAAAGGCGATATGATATACGATCTATGTTCTGAATACTATAGACGAGATACATGGCGTATGGCTTACCAAGAGACTGTGTATCCGGTTCTCGATTATTGTGATTGGAATCTGCCATCGTTATTGTTGCATAAATGACGGTTTTACCGCCTATAGTGGAAGAAAAACGGGTGAGTGGAAGGCCTAAACATAACCGATTTCCTGGATCCAGTGAGACTCGAAAAAGAAAATCATATTCGGTAGGTTCGGTTAGTACGTCAACAATGTCATAGACGTATGAGTCATGAATTTGTATTTGTATTTGTATTATATAATACATTTATTATGAATTTGTATTTGAATCATATGATGAAGACTTTGGTGTAATTTGTATTTGTCATGAATTTATATTTTTTTTATATAGTTTGTCATGAATTTGTGTTCGTTTAATATATTCGTCAAACTGGTCGTCAAACTGGTCAAACCAGTTTGGGGTTTTGGATGACGGTGTGACGAGTTTGACGGGTACTGATGGTGTGACGAGTTTGACGGGTTGACGGTTTGTGAAAATAAATCGTTGGTGTAAATTAAGTTTTGATGGTTCAGTGTGGTATATAGGGGTCATTATAACATATTTAATGAGTTTTTGTTAACCGTAACTCATGCGGGAAAAAACTATTTCCTACCCTAAGACAATGTGTTAGGAGAACACTATTAGAACTTTAGGGTTTCTTTGGGAGAACATGCATTGTGAGAAACAAAAAGGTCTTAAAATTTGAGAGCTAGATTTAGATTCAGCGTACGATACTTGATGAATGGGATGATAATTGATAAGTTTACAGTTTGCAGTAGGCAAATTCGCGAAAATCGATAAGGTGTGACGAGTTTGACGGGTACTGACGGTGCGACGAGTTTGACGGGTTGACGTTTTGTGAAAACAAATCGTTGGTGTAAATTAAGTTTTGATGGTTCAGTATGGTGTATAGGGGTTATTATAACATATTTAACGAGTTTTTGTTAACCGTAACTCATGCGGGAAAAAACTATTTCCTACCCTAAGCCAATGTGTTAGGAGAACACTATTAGAACTTTAGGGTTTCTTTGGGAGAACCTGCATTGTGAGAAACAAAAAGGTCTTAAAATTTGAGAGCTAGATTTAGATTCAGCGTAAGATGCTTGATGAATGAGATGATATTTACAGTTTGCAGTAGGCAAATTCGCGAAAATCGATAAGGTGTGACGAGTTTGACGGGTACTGACGGTGTGACGAGTTTGACGGGTACTGACGGTGTGACGAGTTTAACGGGTACTGACGGTGTGACGAGTTTGACGGTTTGACGAATACTGACAATAGTATGAAGATTTTACCCGATAAAATACATATGATTAAAAGGATGTTCGTAGGAAATAAACGATAAAAATATGTTCGGAGAGTACACATGATTCAAATACAACTAATTAAAAAGAGGATCATGGGTTCATGAAGAAGTACACACGATATGTTCTTAACATATTTAACATATTTTCTCGAAACAAATACTTGTCGGACTCATCCTCAATTGTTGCATCCAACTTTGCACCACCGGATGACTATTTTCATCTTCATGTAGATTAAAAAGAATATGTTCTTTTTCCTCCTTTATTTGAAGAACACTTCGAATACCCTGAAAAAAATGGTGATTGTAATCAGTAAGAACATTATGACAAGTTTGACTCATATGACCATTCATATTTGGTCATACAACATACCTGTGATGTCACACCGACTTTTTCATCACGTTTGTATGTGTGACAAAAAGGCCCGGTTGGATGCGCTTCTTGCCCATCCTAGGACAAGTTGGATCAACACCTTCCTCAGCCATATACCATCCCCCTAAGCTTTCCACGCATTCAAAAGGAAGCAACTGCAAAAAACATACCAAACAATTACATCAAACAACATCTATACTCGAACCCTCAATCACATTAAAAACTATACATAAAAAATTAACTTACCATAAGAGGTATCACAAATCTCGGACAATGCCATCTGTCCTTCGGTTTAGAGCTGCTTGCATACACCTTCCATATTTGATCGATCATTTTTCCGAAGGTGTATCTCCCACATGGAAACCCTTCACAGAAGTCCAGATTATCGACCATGTCTACTAAGGCAGTGGGAATCACATCAGTGTTCTTGATGCCATGGTCTAGTACTCTGCCTAGCAAAACAAGTATTGGTAATATTTTTATGTCTTCCACATCTGGGATTGGAGTGTTATTCAACTTTTCTATTACCCCTGATATGGTCACCTTTGAAGGCCCAAATGTTTTCATCTGAAACTGGCTTCCCTTGAAATCTGCCCAATCTTTAGGATACTTGTCACAATTGAGACCGGAGATAATGGCATGTTCGGTGATCGAGTATCTGATGGGCACACCGTTCAGAACAAACCATAGCTCTTTCACCACTCCTTCCAACTTCAATGCACGGTGTAAGAGAACAGATGTCGGAACCATCTTCAATGTTTCTTCGCATTTAAGATGGAAGATGTGACGAAACTGTGACTCTTTGTTGAAGAATCTGAATTCTTCATTTGTCAAGGCCTTTTTTAGAGATCGAATGGTTTCATATGGATAACACTTCGTTGTAATCTTGGGAGCCTGATGAATGTCTTTCAAGTCATATACAAAAGGAACCTGCAAAAACAAAATTCACTCATTATCAGTTTTGTTTGACCGGTGTGACCAGTTTGACCAGTTTTATCATATTAGTCAAACTCGTCAAACTGGTCACACCTTTCAAATGCAATCAGTGTGACTAGTATGACCATTTCGTATGCGGCCAGTGTGACTAGTATGACAACATTACTTCGTCACTAGTTTTACTAGTGTGACGGTGTGACTACTTCACTGGTGTGACCAGTGACACGTGTATCCAGTTTGATAAAACTAGTCAAACTCGTTACACCCTTGAAGTGTGACTAGTGTGACGAGTGTGACCACTATGGTAGAAACCAGTGTGACCAGTGTGACGGTGTGACGACTTCACTGGTATGGCCATTGACGGGTGTACCTAGTTTAATCTGACTAGTCAAACGTGTCACACCCTTCGAGTACGACCAGTGTGAGAGTATGACCATTACGAAACTGATAGAGACAAAACTCTCATATGACTCGATTTTCAAACCGAAACCCAAATTTTTCTTAACTATAAAACTCGAATACTATAACCCATTCGACTAAGATCTTGTCTACCGTAAATATTTGCCCAAGTACACACATAACAAATTCAAAAAAAAAACTAACTTTCTCGGTGAGATATAATGAAAACCTTACCTGAAGATCTTCGCAAATAGAAGCCGAAAACGATGAAGATGAAACCATTTTGAAGTGAAGAGAATAAATCGCACAAGAAATCGCTAATAAAATCGCCTAGAGAATGTCCGTTAGAGAGAAATCGTGAAGAAGAGAGGAAGAAGAAACTGAACAGTTTTTTTTTACTTAATAATTTTTTATTTGGCAACTCCTTATTCTCTCTCTTTTTTTCGCATCTTTTTCCAGAGTATTACACGTGTAGTTTTTCAAAATGATAGAATTATCTTTTTAACGTTTTTCAATTTTTTTTTGAAACCCTAATTTTTCAAGGTATATCTTGAAGTCCAGGTTATTTTAAAGGTATATGTAATATCGCCTAACGTGTGGCAGGCTCACATGCTGGATGTCGTAGCCATGCCATGATGCATGTGTAGTACAAGATTGCTTCATATGCCCTCGTCTCAAAACAATGTTAGTACATTCAAGCTTTAGCTTTTGCTGCACCTACATATGAATTGTACCTAAACCATAACACATTGATATATACATTCATGATGCATGTGTAGTACAACACTTCTTTTCCCAAACCTAATCACAGATTGGACCAGTCACCTACAACACACACACACACACACACACACACATATATATATATATATATATACACACACACGTATATATAAAGTTCCAAAGCGTTGATACTTACAAATCTCCCATACATTGAATTAGAGATTAATTAGCATTTGGCAGCATTGCTACAAACCAAAAATAAAAATGAAAAGAGAGAGAGCCATTTCATCGGGAGCTAATATACATTAACAATTAGATTGGGTTTGCAAGCTTACTATTCTTATGGTTTTATCGTAATTCATACGTACGGAACACGTAAGTTCTGGTCCGTACATTCCACGGTGGTTACAGGCTAAGAGCGGCCTTAACGTCGAGCCTCCAGGCGAAACCACCACCGTCCATTCTCCATACGTCGCACGGAACTATGACGGGGCTGCCTTCACGGTTTTGACACGTGTACTGCACTCTCACTCTGCATGTGAACGCTGTGTACATTAGCATCGGCCTCTCCTTCATCACCAACCGTACGATCATACTCATGTCTCTGTTATTCTCCGGTGCACCTCCCTCCACCGGAATATTCTCTCTCGCCATTCTCTTGTACGCGTCGTTTGTCCACGTCACTCTCCCGATACCGTCCGATATGAATCCTGGACACGTGTCCCTCTCCAGATTCATCTTCCTCTCCCCGTCTATCCTACCTATTCCGTAACCGTCGATCCAAGCGTCCGTCACGCGCTCCACCGTCACGCACGAAGAAACCACCATCCTCTGAGGCATCATCTCTGCCGTGTGGTACGGCGACGGATACGGCACCGCCGTGTTTCCGCCGCTGAAACTCAGCCAGAACGGTCCCTGCGGCTTCTGATCTGCCGGAGATACCTTCAGATCTGGAAATATCATCCCGTCCGGCGTCTCCGGTAACAGGGACAGCGTCACAGCCGTGGCCGCGCGGGATTTTTCCGATCTCTTCCTCCGGTTGCACCTCCTGGTGTAACCGTTATTCTCCTTCAGGGACTTTCTCTTTCCTCTACCTGTTCTGTAGCTAACGTCGGAACCACCGCTCTCTGCGTTGCAGCTGTATTTTTCGTCCCCCGGCGAGCGACCTCCGCCACCGTCGGTGGCCGGTTTCGGAGCGATTGGACGGAATCGGAGCATGACGCGATCCACTTTGGAGAGATCGTACGGTCCAGCACCAGAGTATCTGGCAATGCAACAGCCCCCTCTGCCGTCCATTTCTCTCTCTTTCTCTCTCTAAAGAGTTCAGAAGAAGCTTTCATCGGCATGAGAAAACACTCCACATGTGTTCAGGGATATATAGGAGACGAGGCACTGCGATCTCGACACGTGTCGATTACTAACACGTGGGAAGGAATAATACGATCATTTACGATTTAACAGCCCGTTTGGCTTACATATGGGAAAATCCTTGTGGTAAAAAAAAAAAACTTTGAAATCGAAGAAAATATGTTAACAGTATTTTTAAATTTTGTCCTCATAAATTTTTGTCAATTACTTAATTTCGAATTAGTGACATAAATTATAAATTCCTTTACAAATTCCTCGTCAACAGAGAACCAAATTTCAATAACCCCTTAATTGCTTTTATTGTTGGGGCAATGGTCTACACCTTGTTAGGCAAATGTAAACGTAAAGTTTGGTTTAAGTGAAATGAGACCTATAAATAAGATTCTTGGACTGACACCTTCTTAACCATATTCATTTAATTTCCATGATATATACAAAGATTATTCAAAAACAGTTGTGAAAAAGGTAAAGCATGTAAACTGTTTGATTAACCATTAATAGGGTAAGTTAATATAGTTAATTAACTTTGATATGGTCACTGATTAGTTCCAAAGTTTGTGTAATTTGAGATTTGTTAACTGTTTTGTTGTTTCAATTATGAATAAATGCCAAAGTTAGGTTAAAAAATATAGACCTCGGAGAAGAAAGGCAAAAGATGATGTTTCTTAATATCATTGACTAATTGAAAATTTAATTTCAGTGGAATCTTAATTAAAGTGATAGTGACTTATTAGATCTCAAGGGGGACAAGATGATCTGATGTCTAAATTGTCTTAAGATTTTGTTCCAATGGAGTTAGGACGCCTCTTTTGAGGAAAAGAGGGAACATTTTTTTTCTTTCTAAAAGAGGGAACAGTTTATTTACTTTACACCAAAACCATTTATTTATACGATATATTATACATATTTTGTAGAAAAAAATACCTAAAGACCACTTAATTTTATAAAAACATCCAATTAAATTCTTATATCGTATAAATATTAAAATATGCAAAAAACATAAAATAAACAAACGTATGCTAAATTTTTCAGTAGATTGGTCACAGGGAAACATTAGAAGAGATTGCATTGATTTTAGAGAAAATTTTTCAAAATATTCTGATATATATATAT